GAGCTCAGTTGCCGACGCAAAGTAAAGCCAACATCATATAACTTTCAAGTCATTATGGCGCGTCCAACAAGGAGCTATTTGTGAAAATAGTATTTAAGGTAAGTATTTATTGAAAAGCTCAGTTGTTTACAAGAACTGATTGTTTCTAAGACTTCTCTATGCCTATCGTTCCAGGGAAATTTATTATCGTGTCCGAAATTGAATACGAGATTGAGTTTTCAAACTGGTTTCATGCATGTAAACGCTTGTAAAAGCAATGCCTCTTACGATGGTCTCTCGATGTTCTTGGAAGTATTCATTAGGTAGAACGGAGTTACAATATTAGGGGAAATAAAGGCTCAAAATAGCGACGTCGTACTCGATACGATCTTGGCACTCGCAGTTTACCCAAACGGTCGTTCTTAAGTGCTGTCTCACTTACTAGTGTATTCAAAAATATGTTGCTAAAACTTGTACAACTGGAAGACAGTCATAACTAGGAAGGTATACAGTCAGGTTAACCAATATAAAATAAGGATGATTGAAGTCTAGAGGAATAAAGCCGTATTTTGCAACGGAAATTAATAACGAAAAGTAATAATTTTTTGTCACCTTGTTTTGACACTTTTGCAGTCATCTGCTCGGTTTAAAACTAATCTGGCAGTCAACCGGTCAACTAGGTTGACAATGTTCATGGCTTTGAAATGTAATCTGTTTGGAAACACCATATTTAGCGTTTCAAGTATAATTTATAATACATTAAAAGTACAAAAAGTTACTTGTGTCTAACCTCATCGGCAGACCGTGAGCCAGCTAAAAAAGTGCAACGACTCGATTAAAGGTCCAATTCTACGCTTCACTTCGTAGACACCTATGATTGCCAAAAAGAATAATTTCTCTAACACCTAATAAATCAAATGAAGAAGGTATAGTAAGTAAGTAAAGTAAGTAAAAGCTTTATTAATGTGTCAGTGTATTTAGTTTTCACAACTAATTGGGGGCACAAAAAAAATAACATTATTTACAATTATTCATAAGAAATTTTAAAAAAAATGTTTATACAATTAATTAATTATGGTACAATAAAACAAAAGGTATATAAAAGGTAGTCTCTAAGAATTGCACAGGTTACACAGCTATTGTTGTTGTTTAAGAGTGACGTTAGGTCTTTTTTCCTAATGTTCTTTTTAAAAGATTCAATATTTTAGGAGCCTTTCAATTTATTATCTAGTTGTGACCATATATGAGGTCCTTGATATCTAAGAGAATGTTTTCCATAGTTTATAGAGTTAAAAATAGGAATATCAAAGTCGGTGTTTCTTAGTGAATAACTAGTGCTTTTCTGCTTAAATACTTCGTCAACAATACTCGGTGCGAGGCCATATTTTTCTTCGTACATTAATATAGCGATATCTTGTATATTTAACAATTATTAAAAACTGAATCATTGGATAATGCAATTCTAGCATTTTGATTGGCTTAGCCGTTATGGTATATGAGCTAATATACCATGTTCTCCATATATGGTCGGTGTACGCGTCAGTTTAAAATTGAAAGCTAGCTGAGATTTTTTTTCGCGAAGGATAGAACGGCGCCCGAAGCAAATCGTTTTAATTCATTTCTTAGAATACTAGAAATGCAATTTCAGCGCAAGAAAAAAGACAAAAACAAACAAAAAAGCCACAAGAGCTTGTCTGAAAGTTTGTCGAAAAACACATGAAAACACATGGAACTAAAGTACCTTGACCAGCTACGAAAGAAGACAAGTGTTGTTTCTTCATGATCGCGAAGCCATTCGCCGATCAAGTCACTCGCCGATAGATAACTGCAGCTTGTTTATCCGACATCAAGAATGTAAATCACAAGTAACCAGCTACAAATACAGGCTATGCAGCCATTCACTAGAGCAATCGAGGCGGCAGTATAGCTTCTTTTCTCGTTCAGCAAAACCAGCTTGTGGCTTCAAACAACTTCATAACAAGCGACCGAGGTAATACCGGTAGTTTTTCTCCGTTGTTCTTACTTTTATAACTGCACCGAAAATCCAAATTCATAGTAATTTCGACGGCTGTCACTTAAAAATTCCTTTCCTTCACATTATCTGCCAGGTTTTTTAAGCTGTTCTGCTGTGTAAAATCCTAGAATCACGATGAGTTTTTAAAAAACTAATGTTCATCGCTACAATGTTTTGATTTTTCATTCATGCAGTCTAGGCGAGTCCGTTCGCGCGTTGACAGTTTTGATAGACGTGTGACATGTCAATAGCGGAAGTCCCTTGTCTTTTCCGGTTTGTTCTAGTCGGGGCAATTCAACGAGATTTTGTGGGCGTTTTTAATAAAACAATTATTCCACTCGGGCTTGTTGGATATGAAATGATTATAGCCAACTCGGCGCTATGCGCCTCGTTGGCTATCTATCATCTCATATCCAACGCGCCCTCGTGGAATAATTGTTAAATAGGCTGAGTTTTTACGAGTTATTCGATGACATTTCGCTTGTGTTAAACGTCAGAAGATTATGCGTGGCTGTTGATAGTTTTATCAATGCGGCGAAAGTGTGTGATTGTGTGATTTCCGCATGGTGTTGACAGGTATGTGGTTGCGTGGTTGAGGTGTTTCGCCAAAATATTCTTTGCCAGCCATAAAAACGTTTCTTCGGTGTTTAGGTTTCCTGCTTGTACTTTGGAAAAGCAACTCTCGACTCAGGAAAATCGGATCTAGGTCTAGTTTCAACAGGCTCTAATGGCTTTGAACTAAAAGACCGGTTTTTGCAGATAAGAAATCGATAATTTGTGTACTAAAAAAAAATGCAATGTCGCTCTCGCGAAAAAAGTAGTGTTTTGCTATCTATTTAAGTTTTTATGTACGCCTTAACTAGGCACCTTTTCGCTGCAGTTCACTCAACTTTAAAATTTCCAGTCTGAAATAACACTAGTTTGAAACTTCACGGAGTCGGATCGATTACTGAATAAATGTTCTAAAATTTCAGTTCAATTTGGACCCGTTGAAATGCTTCTTGTAACTACTAACTTACTGCCCATCGTCAGATAAAGGATTTTAATCGGTTTTTGAATGATATTTGATTGTTTTAAATTGCCAAGTAGTAGAATGAGTTGATTTTTTTGTTAACCCGGTTTTCAAAAATCCAGCAATATGAATGAATGTTCGAACGAAAGAACGAATGAATGAATGCATCAGTAAGTAGAAGTATTTTCAATGATTCCTGTTCATTAAATTAATAGACAAAGAAAACGGTGAAATGTAAACCGCATGCGGTTTAGCCTTCTTCTACGTATGGACCTCCTTTCACCCATGGCAAGTACTCCTTGATTGCGAAAAGAGAACCAAAATCTAACCCTGAATTATCATTGCAAGACGTGATTCGTACCTTCTTATGCAAAATCTACAAGCCTGCGTGGAAGGCTATATGGCTTTGACATGCACTTCAAAAAATATATACTTTATGTTTTTCAATAATAGCACTGTTTACTTCAATTTACTATTTTTAAGTAAATAGCGTTCACTCTGTGGTTCATCTAGAAGGAATTAACCTCTCCGGGTTCAAAAGGAACCGCTTGTATTATACCGAGTTGCACAGCTGAACGTTTCATTTATGAGTCCCAGTGGGAAATGAAAACGATTACGTCAACAAACCTCTATTCAACTGCACTGCAGCAATCGAATTTACATATTTACAGGTCTGTCAGTTTTTCAGATTATTTCTGTTTGGATTTTAGGACGACGAAGCTAGCACTGAATGAAGAGTTGTTACTCAAAAGCTAGACTACCAATTTTTCCCAGTAATTTTTTTCCTAATGATTACGTGGCCTGTTTCATTTTAACAACAGTTGGCGTAGATTGCCCTTTCCCAGGCCTCCCTCTCCACCTCCCACCTCCCATAATGACTGCTTCAGTTATAGCTATTTTCCTAGCTTAACATTGTGAACAACTCACCAATATTTTTACTCTTTCTTAGGTGCACGTTGCAGCTTTTCTTAGAAAGGAAATACTGCATGCTAAATCTTTTCTTGAAAACTTCTAGTGCAATTGAAGGGGGGAAACATTTGTTTTCTAAAGTTCCTAGATGAATCCTTTATTTGTGTGATGTCTTGATTGCATTCATTTGCAGCCTAATTTAAATGGTGTGTGTTTATCGATGAAGTTGAGCATAAAAGCATTTGCACTCTAGCTAGACAGGTGCAGAACGGCGCCTTTGACCGAAAATATCAGACAGTTATTGGTTTTGATAAATAGCGATAAACTGACAAAATTATTAGTTGCCAAGTGCCAATCCTTAGTTTGGTGTGATCACAATCTCTCATAAACGGAATAGACCGCTTTCACTTCCTTTTGATGCCGAGACTACAGTTTGACGTTATCTGATTGAATCGAAGAATCAAAGGCCAAAAACGCTGAAAATCTGAGAAATTGATAGAAAGAGGTGGTCTAAACAGGATCTCTCTATTGAGGTATGCCTTACAGTACTTTTTAATCCAGACGTTTTTAGCGTTTCATAAAAAACGTAAGTTGTATTTGCTTCATGAACTACAGTTGCTACATACAACCGAGCATTATATAATTATCACTGTGAACAACGGTCCTTTTTTCGCCGCAGATCTAAGACACGCTGGCCTAGTATTGTAGACTGAACCGAGACCTGCACGTGCCGGTTGTGAAAGCCTTTGAGAAGTAGTTTATCTCTAGACTTAAGTCTCCCTTAACTTCTGGGAACGTTTTTTGATCATTACGTAACATTTTTTAGCGTGTTCACCCGCCATTCAAATCTCAGTGCAGTTCGAATTTGCCACAGGCCTCAAGGTCTGCGTGCATTGATGATGTTTTAAATTGTAATCATAGCTCTCCACAAGTCTTACCCGAGTAGTATGTTTCTTACACAAATAACTAAGAAGTTCTGATAAACAGCTGAAAGATGAAGCACTTCAATAAAATTCATGATGTGATTGGCAAAATTCACAATGACGACAGCCTTGCGATTTTCATATATTAAGAAACATTTGTTTCATGAAACAGACCTTAAAACGTAACTCTTTTTTCTTTAATTTCCTTTTGGCAGAGAAAGCGCTTTATTTCTTATACAATGTCGAAACTAACCTTCAGGTAGATTTACGGAAGAGCAGGAAGTATGACTTTTTGGGTGGGTATTTCAAGGCTCAAACGAATGAAAGATGGCATAGTTTATTAGAGGTAAGAATTCTTATCTCGTAATAAATCAATAAATATTAGAAATTTCACTTCATAGATATAAGCCCTTATACATGTCAAATTTGGGACATTTGTTTTAAGACCAAACACCACATGTATATCGGGTAAAGTTATATACAGAAAATGCAGTTTGCCTAGTCCACGTTCTACCGGCTTTCCTCTATATATTTATGGCAACTCGAAATTTTCCCATCATAAGGTTAGTTATTTAGCAATTATTGCTTAGAAGCGGCTAGGGAGAAGTCTACAAATTTTGTCAATGCTGTTATAGCTTGGCTTGTATTTTCTATTTATTCTTCATGGGTGACGAATTGTGAACCAGGGCTACCAGGTTAAGGCTTGTTTTCACTTTACGAGACAGAAAATGGAAAAAAACCAGACGAGTAAATAAAGGTAAAGACTAAAGACGATAGTTGACGATGGTGCTTGTGGTGTTTTTGACTGAATGACGATGACCATAGCTGCTGCTGCTGCTGCAGATGATGGAGATGATGACAATGTTGATGACGATGTTGTTGATGATGGCGATGATGACGATGTTGATGACACTGACGATGACGATTTTGATGATGATGATGATGATGATGACGATGGCGATGACGATGTTGATGACGATGATGATGTTGCTGTTGATGATGATGATGATGGTGAAAGTAATGGTGGTCATATAAATAAAGTATCTGAAACTCTGATAGAAGTACGCACCTCTTGAAAGATTCACAAAAATTACCCGCGTGGAGAAATTTGGGCGTTTCCTTGGTGTTGCTGGTTAGCTATTGTGTTGTGGTGTAGTTGCGCTCCGATTAGTTGTTTACTTCTCCCGCAAATTAAGCTTGGTCTCAGCAAAGCAAAGTGTGCAATTTGAAACCGTGGCAGAGTGAGGAAAAATCTTGCATTTGCCCAGAATGAAAAGGCGATGATTTTATATCTTTTTTATGCATAGCTTCCGTTATAGCGAATATTTACAATTACGTTGCTGATAGATTTTCCTTACGTGTCAAATTCTTTCTCAAGGAGATTATAAACAAGGGTATATTAAATAGGGGTTAGTGCCAAATTATTGTTTAAAAATATTCCGTGGCTTATTGGCAGATGTTCTTCACTGAAACATGACAGTAATTCAAGAAATTCTTGGTCATTAGTTTCAGATTGAAAAACGTGTTGCCCGTCACATCTTCATAGAAGCGTATTAACAGGGAGAAGATAACTTCAGTCAGCCAACAACATTTTTACATCCTGTGAGATACTTCCTTCTTGACTGTAAGTGAAATTTCGGCTTTTTATGTTACAACATCATTAAATCCCAACTTATCAATTTAGTTCATCAGTTATTTTCATGATTTTATTGTTTACCACCAGTTGAATGATGTTTGCGATGAAGATTTTACGGTTGTGAATCTGATGTAGACTCCATCTATCCTGCGGACATTATGAATGATTTTTAAAAGTTATAACTGTCAAGTTAAGAAATGATTACAGCTTCGTCTTCATTCTTCGTAAAGTAAATCATCGAAAAATGCAGACTTGTTTGCAGTAAACAAGGTAGATTATTTTAAAAGGCGTTACCAAAGTGTATAGTTTCTGCGAAATATTTAGAATATCTGCCTGCCGACCTTCTTTTAGTATTCCTTCGGACAACAGATTTATCACTAAACCAAGTTTAAAATCCCCTTGCACACGAGGGAAAAATAAAAAATAAAATAAAATAATTATCACAGTCAAGGTTTTACTATGTGTTTCCGAGGTTACGTGACTTTTCCTTTGTTTATCAGCAGACGACAGTGGAATTGTGCCTATAACTGATGACCCTTTGAAAATAAAGGACAAACGGTGAGTTGTTTAATTGCGGTAAATATACATTATACATTTTGCCCTGTGGCAAAACGACGATAGCTACATTTCATTCACTGTAATATTGGCGAGTAGTGAGAAGGTGGTAGAGCGCTCAACTGGTGCCAACATCCTAGTGAAAGCCTTTAGGTAAGAACAAACACTTGATCGGAGCTACTTGTTTATTTTATGAGGATTGTATAGACTGTAGATGAATAGCCTGCACATAAATGGTTATCACCAGATTTTATTAAGATCAAAGTACGTTTCCAGAAACCGGTATACTGAAAGTTAATCTCAGTCTAAAACCGTGTCGTCGTTTAAAAATTCACAAATGGAAGGTTTGACTTTACTTTTTGAAGAGCTTTAAAAAATGCGCGATTGTCTTTGGGTACCAAAAATGTTATAACGATAAGATCTAGAGATTAAGACTCGGTATAAGCCATGATATCGGCTTAACGAAATCCTTCTGGAGATTACATCGAAGAAGATATAGGACGTTATTTTGACTATTTTGAGCGCAGTGTGCTTAATTACGTTAGAATTCTCGTTGCTTCGTATCCGATTAGCGAATCTACGATAATGATTATACTTACATTTAATTAGCGAATTATAGGATGTTCGTGGTCTCTAACTATTACTTTTCGTCTCTTCAGTTGTTTTTGAATAGGCGGAAAAGGATTATTATGAGTGAATTGCAACACAATATATAGAACGGCCTATTTCTTAGTCACCTCTTCTGGTCATCAATTGGTTTTTTTTTCTTGAGAAGAGCAAGGTTACAATCGTTTAATTACATTTCAAAACGATCATGTGTCTCGGCGTAGTTTTCGAACTTCTATATGGGGTATGTAGCGAATGACTCTTAGGTGATGGACTAACATCAACAGCTGTTGGCCAAGTATTTTCATCTCTCGCAAATCGAAGGAAAGCAATAGAAGTTATGGAATCTATTCCATAAAGCAACAAAACTGGTATTATTCAGCACTGACATATTTGACTGGATTCACCAGGTATTCAAACAGAACGTTTCATAAATTCATTTCCATGTAACAGTTCGTTTTGTCCAGTTCATTTGTCAGGAGCCTTATTGAAAGGCCGCCCCTGGTTCAGCTGGCATAAGAGCTATCTACCGGTATCGCAAACTTCATGGGTTCGAACCGCATTGAAGCCGGCCAGATGGAAAACCTGGACTGGACTCTGGACTGGACTCTGGACTGGACTCTGGACTGGACTCTGGACTGGACTAGACTGGTTTTTTAAGGGGTGTATTTTTTTTTCTAGCCTCCTCTCTGCCTTGCATGGCTATTCAGTGCGGTAGTTTGAATATGTATATTTCACCGATTCTTGTTTTTTAAGCTATTCCACTGTATGCGACCGAATTGTCCTGCTTTCAATGCCCGGGGGGGGGGGGTACTCCCATGCATTACCTATAAGGGTATGTGCCGCCCAAAGGGGTCGTCATTTTCAAGCTCCTGATTTAGAACGGGGTATCCATTTCAGACGCGTTTTCTAGAACGGGGTATAATATTTCGAACGCACGAAAGCTCGATCCACCTTTGTAAGCAGCCATTTGAAAGTATTCAAGGACATCAAACCGTTGTACTCTTGTCAGCGAACGTTTTGTTTGAGGAATCCATATTTTCGAAAGAAGTTGCAATGGAAAGCGCATGCAAATAATTATGCTGTTTCACAATGAAAGGAGTTTTGATAACCGACACCGGAAATCGCGTCCAGGTAGCGGCCAATCACTTGGTGTGTAATGGAATATGTATGTCAAACTAAAGACTCGCTTAAAGTTTACATGACAATTTTTAAAACCCATGTTGTGAAAACCACAGTGAAAATCACAGTGAAAACCAGCAATCATTGCGAAGATAAACATACGAATTGTCGGATCTGGGCAGCCTGATTTGTCGACATTATTTTCCCATCGTGTAGTCTCGTCACGCAACGCTCCTCCCCACTAGGAGACATCGTGGGGAAAAAACAAAGGTCAACAAAGTTAGGCGATAATGAGAAATGACAGGAATGTGACCTACGTGTAGCCACCCACATAACATTGTCGAAAGAAAACGATTTTCGCAAACAAATAAAGAAACCAAAAAAAAGTAAAAAAAATCGAGTCCAAAGTCCAGTCCAAAGTGCAGTCCAAAGTCCAGTCCAGAGTCCAGTCCATGTTTTCCAACTGCCCCATTGAAGCCTGATTATAGTCGTTGTTTGTATTATATATGTTTTGTTTGTTTGTTTGTTTGTTTCAGGTTTTCTTTTCGCACCTGCTTAAACTGTGATTATCTCATGTGTTTCATCTTTCTACATCTCCTGCAGTTCAAATTAATGAGATCTTTAAATTCATACCCTTTACTACAGTTCGTGCTACAAAAACATGAAAATCCGGGGGTGTTGCCAGCCTATAGACCTATAGGCCCGGGCCTACAAATTTTTGGTTTGATCACTCTACCGCTTGTAATAAATTACGCGTTATTGGGGTGAGCTAAAAAGCTTAAGAGCTCAAAATGTTGGTGAGGTCGGTGCGTATTAGTCATGGGTGCAAAAATCAGGAAATGTGGAAATGAAAGTCAGCCATACCGATGAAATCTCAAGTGATTCCATAAGTCCAACAGCGCACAGCGACGCCGATGATACCGGTGATTTGGCATTCAATCCAAGCGATGATTCCGATCAAGACGCCGCCATTGCAGCAATGGAAGCGTGCCTCCGTGACATCCGTAGCTGCACTATGATCAATGATTCCAAGACTGAGTTTATGCTCACTGGGACGAAGGTGCAGCTACAGAAAATTAAAAGCGCTACTCTAACTATTGGCGAATCCATCATCTCTCCCAGCACGGAATCCCTTAGAAACTTAGGGGCCTGGTTTGACTGCCATTTCAACCTGAACTTTAACATAACCAAAACTTGTAGGAGTGCTTTTTTTCATCTAAACAATATTAGACGCGTCAGAAAATATCTAAGCATAGAAACTACCGAGAAATTGGTCCACGCTTTCATCAAAAGCAGATTGGACTATTGTAACGCACTTTTATACGGACTACCCTACTGCGCCCTCACTGAACTGCAACGTGTTCAAAACGCAGCTGCAAGAGTTCTATATCTATAGCATCAGGGTATTGCCATATCACACCAATATTATACGAATTACACTGGCTGCCTGTAATGTTTAGAGTAGAATTTAAGATTATTATAATCACTTACAAAGCAATCCATGGAACAGCTCCTAATTATTTATCATCTCTCGTTAACTTTAAACCTAATTAACCTAATTCTTCCTACAGCCTCAGATCAAATAACAAATATCTACTTTCAAATCCAAACTTCAGGACTCTCCCTACTCTTAGTGACCGAGCCTTTGTAGCCGCCGCACCAAAACTGTGGAATAATCTTCCGTTAGATCTTAGATGCACCTCCGTTTTTAAATGTAATTTGAAGACTCACCTTTTTAAAAAAAGCCTTTTCTGATATAATGTTGTAATCTATAGACTAGATAATTATTCATTCTTGTAATTTTTAATTGTCAGGCGCATTTGAAAACTGTATAGTTGATTTTGCGCGGTATAAATAAATGATATTATTAGTCCAACAACTGGCACGCACGGCAATGCTGTGCATGTTCACACTGGAACAGCGCTTTGAGGTCCTTTTTAATTACTTTTCAATTATTGAATGATGCTTACTAAGATTTGAAATATCATTCAAATCGAGGAGGGTCAGTGTATCAGTGACAACCTCCCAGTTCTTCAGAACTTTTTAGATAATATATATTAATTGTTTTATTGTTCATTCAAAACACGCCATACTTTAATACATGCTTACCTCGATCGATGTTAAGTTCCCCTCTTATTTTGCCTGTTTCTCCGCCCCCCCCCAACTTCATTCCCTTTTTTGATTATCTGTTATTGGAAAAGTTGGAACGAACAAATACTTAATAGGATCATGCGTAACAAACGTTTTAACTTATTTTTCACCAAAATAAGCATTTTTTTACAAAACGTGAAAAAATTTCCGCCATTTTATCCGGCTCTACCGAACCTCATATAACCACAAGACCTCTCATGATACGGCCACCAAAATTGCCACGAATAATGTATTCATTATTTCCAACAACTAGGCATAACTTGATTGATACAATGACGCAATTTGATGTCATTTTGACGTCATATTGTTGAATTGCAAAATCCAAATTTTATCAACATTTCTCTTCTAAGCGAAAACTATTTAAATAGTAAGGTGTCTGGCAAAATCAAGAAGGTGGCAAACACACATCGATAAGTTCTAAAAAGATTGCTTCCGGGATATAGGAGCAATTAAAAGAATTAGAGATTTTTACCCAACACCTACTCTCCATTATATGTCTCAGATCTGTCTGAATTTTCTAAAATGTCGATAACAACGCGGCGCCATTCATCGTTAAAGATCTGCTATTTTGAATAAATGAAATGTATTTAGCTAAAAAAACCGCTGTTAAAAACTGAATCCATCATCTGCTATTTGGTCATTTTAAATTGATGTATTTTTTCTTAACTCTGTCAATAAAAATGCCTGGATTACACTAACAGTTGTAATAAATTTCATGAAATGTTGCTGAATTAAGTGTGATGGTAAAATTCAATTTGTAAAAATAAAAAGGCAAATTTTGAAAGTCACAACAGTCAAAACTTGCTTTCCATGGTAACGTCAATCTTGATGTATACGTTACGACGACTTTAAAATATTCCTAATAGTTCTAAATTAAGTGGCCAAAGCCTCCTCTCCTGGGTCTGAACAGGGTTAAAGAGGCAAAGAGACGGTATGTTGGTCGCTTGGACTACTGGCCTTTAGACCGATATCGCGTGTGCAACCATAATAAAGAGAGGATAAATTCTCTCTTGCCACAATCCAATGGGCGCACACGGCTTTCACTGTTATGATATTACATCTTAGAGAACGATCCAAAGGCTATTTTAAGCTTTTATTTTTAATGTTACATAGGTATTTAACTAAAAGGTACTTATGATGAACTTGGCTTTGAAGATCGCTGTACTCTTATTTTCTTGCATCTCTAATTTTTGGCCATTTTTGACCTCAATAGACAAGATGACTTTCATGGGAAATTCTTCTTGGAATTACACGAACTTGACCAAATGTAAGTAATATTCGCCACTTCACGAGTAGAAATGAGAAGAGCACTGTGAGACTAGATATAGAAACAGCTGCGAAAACAATGGCGGAGAAAAAACCTTTGAAGGGATTGGCATCCCACCAGCGACATCAGTCTTTATTTCTATAGATAACACTGTGAAGTTTCTAATCAACTAATTCAACGACATATACTTTTTTTTCCAGCTGATACAATCCAAGGGATTATACCAGACGACGCAATAACGGAAAACATAAGAATCATGATGACGTCACTATATGCGATCTCTTTTCTTGCTGCACTTGTTGGAAACTCCCTTGGAGTGTACATCATATGTTGGAAATGTGGAACTATCAAAGCAGCCACCAATCTACTAATAGCAAACCTTGCTTTTTCCAATTTGCTCATCACTTTAATTGTCATGCCCATGTCCGTGACGTTCCTGTACATCGGATTCCGCTGGCATTCGGGGATTGCAGGAACCATAACTTGCAAGTTCACCCAATATCTGTTCTTGTTTCCCATCGCTGCATCCATCCTGACCATATTGGTGGTGTCTATAGATCGTTTCTTTGCTGTGTTCTACCCGTTGAAAGGGCAAGTTTTTCGTAGGCCCAAGACCATGACAGCGTCGATTTGGATTTGTTCGGCGATGCTCATGAGTCCAGCCCTGGCAATTTTCCAGGTGGTCTCTGATGGCAAGGGATCATGGTCTTGTGTTCTCTACTTTGGCGAAAATCAACAAAGGGCCGACACCCTTTTTAAAGTGTATTACAGCCTCATTTTTGTTGCGCTTTATTTGTTGCCTCTACTTATTATTTCTGTTCTGTACTCGCTTGTTTGCTACAAACTTTACATCCGAAGACTACCCGGGAACACAAGAGCCCAAACGTATAAGGTTGCAGTGGAGAAGGCGAAACGCAAGGTTATCAAAGTGCTTGTTATGATAGTGGCGGTGTTTGCGCTGTGCTGGTTTCCCGCTCATGCGATGCATTATCTAATTGCATTCGATAGGGACTTTTATTCTAAAATTCCCTCTTATCTTTTCCCCTTATTTCTGTGGATCTCTCACTCGAACAGTGCCATCGACCCATGTTTATACATACTACTAAGCCACAATTTTCGTAGAGAGTTTCGCAAGGTTATAAATCAATGTGGTCTTTATAAGAAGAAGAAAAGTTTTCACAGGCGCCTCTCGAAATTCTCAATTAACTTATCGAAAAGAAATTGGGATACGAGACGCGTAAGTTCTCGTAAGAGTGGTTTCAATTTCTGGTCGTTCCGCAGAACTGATCTGTACAAAGCGGAATTGGACGAGGAAAGAAATGGAAAATACAATATTCAACATTTGAACAGCGCTAACAAAAAACCATTTGCAGAAGAACTTCTCAGAGCAGCGCCCTTGGGTGATCATGTTTTGTAGTCAAGTGCCTTCATTTTTCTTTAGGCCCAACAACGAGAAGATCTCAATGAGGTGATAGCTTTGACGGTCTATTGCTATTTTTTTTCTAACTTTGACGGTTGATGGTTAAATTTTAGAGCGTTCGACGACGTTTGACGGTTATTAAGTGAATATTTAGTTTTAGTTACGTATACAGTAAAAACCCGCGTATAAGAACTTATCTTTTTCCACGCTAAGCTAAAAAGGTTCATATAAAAATGCTGCTTACTGGGAAATTAGGCTACTCAGGTTCTTAAACAGCTTCTTATTTAATAAGGTGCTTGTCTTTGGTGGGTGTTGCCTCTTTTGGGCCTATTTTTGGTATTGCATGCATAATATGTAACAATAAAATCCCTTTAATTTAAGCATGTTAAAGCCAGTTATGAAGGATATATAGATCTACAGGTCAATTTTCTCATTGCCAGGGTTTTATTTTCATTTTACTAGCTGGTGGAGCTTGTTCTATTAAATTTGTTTATTCAGTGTTTGACTGAATTTCTCAAAATAACAACCTGTTTCAAAATTATAGGCTAAAACAGTTTCTTATGTAAAAGGGGTCTAAATGGACAATCTTAGCCTAACAGGTTCTTAAAATCTGGCTTCTTATACTCGGGTTTTTACTGTACTCATAAAATTTCGAAATATTTCAGATAAAAGCAAGTCTTGATATATCTAGAGAGAGTGTTTTTTGAGAACATAAGAACTTGTTTTTCAAGTATTGAGATTCTTCAGGAGCCGGAAGTCCGTGAAGATTGGCTTAAATAGGAAGATTTGAAATACCTTGAGACTTTTGGACGGTTATTATTAATCTGCATTTTTTGATGCTTGACGGTGAAAAATACCTTTTTCGGCGGCTGACGGTTAACCCCTTTTAGACGCTCTGATGATCAAACCGTAGCTGACTTCATATTTTACATGAATGCACTCATTTTCTGGGCATTATGGCTCATGAATGCATGCACGCATGCATTGTTTGCATTCTTCAATTAACGTCTTAATACCTGATGTAGTGCCAGCATTAAACTAAACTTGGAGGGCTTCCTAAAGAGCGAAACTGTGACAGCTTATTAGTACGTTATCAAGTCAGAGTTGAAGATGTTACAGATGATAAGATAGTTATAAGTGATAAATTGTTAAAGGTGTACGTTATAGATATAAAGCAAGTTATCACGGATGGAATTTGAATTAAAATGAATAACGCGCCTTGTGTATCGATAAAATGCAGCGCACCAAGGTCATTTAGAATCCGAGAAATATAGCTCTTATAAACAAGTCAGTTAATGCATTAAGAAAAGGTTTGTTAACTTTTTTTTTATTGAATGCCAGGGACGGATCCAGGATTTTTTTTATGAGGGGGTGCACTTGTCTCTTGCTCTACTTCAACACCAATAAACCACATAGTTTTTTTTTCTTTGCAGAATACCAGTGGAAATTGTACAAAACTTTAAGTAATGATCCGGGTAGGGTAGATAGCAATTTCTTTTGTTATGCCCAAGGTCTTTCCCCCATGAATGTTTCCCAAAGAGAATGCATAAAGTTTGAAGGGCGTTTTGCAATAAAATGGTGACACTCCACTTTGAAAGGACGTGAAAAATTTTGACCAATCACAAGGAAAAACAAATGAGCAAAAGTTGGCAATTTCACAATGTTCCCCACACAGGATTTTTTTTATTCAAACTGAGAAATTTTGTACAAAAGATGGTTTAAGGATGAAATAACCGCTTTAAAGTTTTGTTAACTTTTAAATTAAAGCCAATCAGAAGTAAATACGACAATAGAAAAGTTAGCACTTTTTTGCATTCCAACATGTTCGTTGCCGTTGTTGTTCGTTTTATCTGACCGCAGGGTAACTAAATAATGATTAAATTAAAGTAAAAATCAAAGCAAACGTTTTTGCTTGTAGCAGGTATGATTCATTTAGCTGAAAGCAAACATTTTACCAGATTCTTTTAGCTTATTACCAGATTAGTAAGAATAAAAGCCTGAATAGATAACCAGCTTTGAGTTTATGGAAAGGTGTCTTTTCTTCGATTCTTGACCCTAGGTCCCATCTTCAGCTGGTCTTCTGGAAAGAATTATTCCACGATCATTCCAGCGTTATTCTCATTAATCTTTCATATACCTTTAACAAAAATGTTAGTAGTGGGTGTATTTTTATCTAACGCTCACAGAGAGTTTATCCATCTGACCTGTCAGGGATATTTTTTGTATTACTTTTGACATTTACAGATAGGCTGTCCGTAGTCGCCCTATGTACAGGAATCCAAGACAGTGCAAGGGACGAAAAACTGAATTTGAACAAGCTTGCCCCTTGCAGATTTGTCGCAAATATATCAATACTGAGGAATAAACATATGGAAAACATGGTGAATGCCACATTTGCCTAGTTATTTACACCCCCCTGGTTTTTGGTATGCAAATGGCGCATTTACTCCTCAGTATTTACAGATTTGCGACATATTTGCAAGGAGCAAATTTGTGCAAATCCATTTTTTTGTTCAGTGGTGCTGCCAATCAGGATTCCACGCCTTAGATTCCGGATATCAGGTAATGGATTCCCGGTTTCTTTTTCAGTAGAACTTGGATTATGGATTTTAATCGTTAGTGGATTGCGGATTCCTTGAGCTGTATTCCGGATTCCAAAGCCCAGGATTCCTGATTTCTCCCCAGATTTCGGAATCCAGATTCCCTTACACGAGACGACCGAAGTCTCGGTTGACAGAGATCAAAGAAAGGACTGTTCTTTATCTCTTTCTCTACTTCCGAAATTTTTTTTTTTTTTCCTGCTCAGTGAAACTCTTGTTCCACGAATCACCCACATTTCATCTTAATCTCCCAATCTTCGGGGTTTCCTCCACCCTTTTCTCATCGCGGAATAAAACTCCGTTAATTGAGGCAAAACAGGGGTGAAAAGCGAAAGAAGCAACACTGCTGGCGGGAAAACCTTATCGTTTCTCGCCAGAGCCTCTTTAGGTCATGGGTTCTTGGTAGTGCGCAACTTGTAACCAACGTTTTGGACAGTTTTTCTCCTTTTTGGCCTTCTAGTGAGGAGGAAATGGCTTACACAGTCTACACATGCGTTTTTTTGGGAAAAATGTTTAGGGAGGAAAAGGTTTAACAAGTAGGAAACGCAGTAAGTTTGGGATAATCACGTGTATGTATTAAGGTCGTCATTAAGCGTCAGTCGTTTCCCGCAGAAGGCGTGTTACCCCCGTCCAGTGGACGGGCAACCCAGTGGGAACGAGACTGATAACGCTTGAACCACGCAAGACCAGAATAATAGTTTTAATAATAATAATAATAATAATAATAATAATAATAATAATAATAATAATAATAATAATCAAATAAAATTCCAATCCAATATCGCTGAGAAAAGAAGTTCTGGAGTCGAGCACCAGGTTTTTATGCATGTCCGTGCGGTCATCGTGCCGCCGGTTTACTGTAGGGGAATTATATGAAGCTACGATGGCAACGGGAACCGGACATCACAAAAACATTAGGATCTTAAGCAAAACCGTCAGCAACTCTGCACTTGATTCACTTTTCTGTCCTTGCTCAACGTGACCAATAAAAGTTTGTGTAGGTACGTAACATTAAAAAATTCATGATCCATACACGACGCAAGTACTGGTTTACCGCTTTCTTAAATAATTGCAGGCTCAGTAGTACAAGCCACGCGGCATGATGCATTTCATAACGAAGGTAAAACACATGTAGTTTTCTGTGATATTTTGAACAAAGTAACATCATGGTCCGTCTGCGAAAGGGGAAAACAACGCGCTGGCGAAAAGGCCAAAGTTGTGAGTCAAATCCGGCGATAAAAGTGCACAGAGAAGCGGTAAAGAGGGGCACAATAGTAGGACACGCAACGCGAAACTCTAACCTTACTGTGGAAGCGCTCGCCAGACACGCAGAAAAACATGATGAAGACGGTGATGTGGAGCTAAAAGACGACGAAGGAGTCAGCATGAAGAGTGAGCAGACATTCGGTGCTTTTAGTGTGAGTGGCTTGACTGATTGTTCGAATCCCGTGTTCGCTGCTGTCAGGCGGTTTTGGGATTCTCCTGCGACGCAACACAAAGAGGTTTTTTTTTTTTTTTCATAGTATTTTTGGAGTAACCACAGATTGCAGGCCTTATTATAAGGTCTTAAACAGAAGTGACTCGGTGGCTTGCTAGTCATGATGAGTGTTTAAAGAACTAGCAGAATATTAACTACTTAACGTGAGGTATGACCTCTCACGCGAAAACGTTCGTTAAGGCTGGTTTACTATTGACGGAGTCGGAGTCGGAGTCGGAAGAGCGCTTATGACCCAGTGAAAATCAAAAATTGGAGTCGTAAGCGGAGTCATATGTGCGACGGAATCGGAGTCATAAGAGTCAGAATGTTTCCATTTCTCCTGACTCCACTTACAACTCCATCACTTAGGTCCCGCTTATAATCCAGTGAAAACCAGATTGTCGGAGTCGGAAACAGAAGCGGAAGGATAACCTGATCAAAATGCGCGTTCCCACTCTTTGTTCTTCCTCCTCTGCTTGCTCCTCTGCTTCTGACTCTGACAATCTGGTTTTCACCAGATCATAAGCGGAACGTAAGCGAAAGAGTCGTAAAGGAAATTGGAACGCTGTTTTCACTAGATCATACGCTCTACACTTCTGATTACGACTCCGACTCCGTCACTAGTGAATGGTTTGCTGTTTTGAAATGGATAGCCTTTTGTGTGCCATTCATCAGCCGTTCGAAATTGTCAGCAGTTTGAACAGCTCAAACGGCTGGAGCTATCTTTTCCAATTTGCATTGTCAATCTGTTTTCTAAGGCCATGTCCACACGAGTCCGGACAAAATTGTTTAAATCACATATTTTTTTATCTCCATTCTTGTGGATGGGGTCTTAAACTGCTCTGGCGGGCAGTTTCAAAACAATGCAATTTTGATGATCCCAACTCGCAAAAACCAACATTGAGGGGGCAGGTTCCTTTAGTTATTCTCCACACACATTTCCGAGAAATGTGGCGCATTTCGGCTAGTCTGCGTGTAGACAAGTGTTCAGTGTTGTAAATTGCAAGCATGTGTGTGCCGTGCTATTGATAACACATTTAAAGGCCCATGTTCACCCTAGGTGCATTGCGCGCCCTGTACTCCAGAAAAAACATTCACGTAGTTGAAAATCGCTGCCTTCAGTGTGTAGAGTCAATCGTTGTTAATCTTCCACAGTTCGCTAAATCTGGTTGAAAAGAAAGTCTAAACAGGTTCTTTTGGTATTTTTCTTTACATCTTTTTGTATATTTTGGTCTGGTATCAAGCCTTTTCGTTTTTGTGAGTGTTTGTTTCACTGTAGTACTTTCGATGGCAGCACCATTGAAACGAACTGTTGGAAGACTGTATCGACGGGGTTGTCGAAGTACGCTTGTCTCCGTGAATCCGTCTTTTTTAATCTCTGGAGAGATGGGAAAGAAGCTCTTGGCTTCAAATTCTACAGACAGCGTGTTTGCTGAGTTCCTTTTACATCGAATGTTCAATTGTAAACAAGGGTCCCGTTGAAATCAGTTGAAAGCAAAACAAGCGAGTCAATCTAACATGAACAATGCTTTATTTAAATTAACCTATGAAGCCAGTGATATCCTTAGCGTAAACTTATTGGCTTGCATATCACGATTAAACTAAGTTACCGAGCACTATTATTAGCAAACCAATCCTTAGCAAAACCCGAAAGAAAGTGTAACACAGCGATTACAGCAACAGGACTGTATGCAGTGCTGATTCGACGCTTTGCAAACTCAACTTCTCTCTCATTCTTTGGAGAACACATTCCTAAGCTTCCTAAGAATTAATGCAAAATGATAGATTGAGGAATCAAAACATTTCACAGTCGAATCGGGCTTCAAGAAAATCTCACCTCGTGCTTAGATGTTTCATAATTTTAAGACCTTCATGGTGTTCATCGCACTCAACAAAGCATCCATACGCATTCACTACCAGTTTAAATCTTGAACTGCCTTCTCCGGTGACAATTAACGAAGTCGCTGATATATCTTCCTCCATTTGGAAAAGAATTAAAGTCTTACTAGTGTCTTTGATACTGTCTCTTTATAGAGACAGTATCAAAGAGCTTCGGCCAAGTGTGAAAAAAAGCTAGTCTCTGTCACAGTCGTTTTTAGTATTGTCCACGCATTGCTCCTCAAAGTGGAAGCCAATCAAAGCACTGCATTTGACAAAGAGGCGTTTCAAAACAAAAACACAAGTGCGCAAAGCCGTTTGGGTGAACATGGGCCTTTAAAAACTATTTTCTATACTTCTGTCATTGTTATTCGCCACTAAAACTTTAGTTCTTCTTTTACACTATTCCAGAGACCACCTTATATTTAATATTAGTAATGAAAATGCATAATCTGGACAAAATAAGAAACTAATAAGTATTAAGTAACCATTTAAGGGTTTTTAGCATTGGATAAATGTACCATGAAAAGCCTCTGAAAATTGTTAACGTTGCTGTGAAACTAAATTTAGACAGAAGAAATGTACTTCTTGAAGTCTTTTCTAGAAAAAAAGGGGAAATTGTCACAAAATAAACATTTTCTGCTACTCCACTTTGTCTGGACATTCCACATACTTTTCCCTCATATTTTTTTGTTCCTTTTCAGGGCAGCTGATAGTATTTGTTGACATTTTAAAAGTCACCGTAAAATTATCAGTGCTGTTTTTACTCTTTCCAGGTTTGTGCTGTGCTTGCTGCTGTCACAGAGGTAAGGACCACACATGTACACAGTGCTGTCAACTCTCCCGGATAATCCAGGAGACTCCAGATTTTGGACCGTATCTCCCGGTCTCCAGATTAGAGTATGAAATCTCCCGGACATTAACCGACGTTTGCCATTCAGCTGTAGACTTGACTTTCCGACCATAAACTTTGAAATATTTTGCGTTGTTTGTGCTATTTTACTGTTAAAATCGAACATTTCCTCAATAAACGTCGGTATGGTATATTATGCCGTTGCAGTGTACTAAGAGATACTCAATAATGTGAAACATTGTAAATTTGGGATGATTAACAAGTATTTGTTGCACAAATGACGTCGTATACCATGCGATATGAGGTCATCTGTCATCCCTTCCCTATCAATTCTCCATATTTGAAGATGTGGGGGTTGACAGCCCTGTGTACAGTACAGTGTACATTGTGCTTTTAGTAGTCAACGAATAGAGCAATGTTCACTTGACCTTGAATATTTATGCACTATCCATTTGAAAGCAAATGTAAGGAATTCAAATGTAAGAATTTAATGAATAGACACAAACTTGTGCCATATGTGGTTGGTTAGTGAACACGCAATGTATTCCCAGCTGAAAAAAAAAAGATTGCTGTAAAATTAATGAGTTCCTCATAACTTTGGCTACAGGCTGAACTGGGCTGCCAATTGGAGGATTTGTGACAAAGTTGTCCTTGTCGTTAAGACTGGTGCTGTCAGAAACATGAATCTGCATAGGCAGTTGAGAACAGTGAATGGGATAAATGGGATGAATGGGATAAATTAAATGAGTGTAACTTGAAAATGAGTCCATGGACTTTTCCTCACTCTTCAGTTTACACCCTTAGCATTTTTTATACATGCCTAATTAATGAGTGCCTGCCTAAATGGTTCACCAAATTTATTATTTCATTAAACTTAAACCTTATTAATACATAATTAAATGTCACTGGTTCAATTTTGTAGGTAATTAAGTCAAAAGGTGGCAAAGAGTCAGAAACAGAATACTTTGCAGCTTTGGTATGTTTAATTTTCTTGTTGTCTTTTTTTTTTTACAGTCAGCTACAATTTTAAAGAATTAGTATACAATGCTTTGAGAGTTGAGAAAATAAATGTACAGTATACAGTGTACATTGTGCAACCTGCTTGATGTAACAAAGAGCCAAGGGACTGGCAAAATTTGTTTGCCCTAACAAGGTTTTGTTAAATCAAGGTGTATAGATGTGTCTCCATGTGTGTACATGCATGTATGCTATACATGTATATTATATTAATTTACTATTACTGGGGTAAAGAAAATAGTTTGTTAGATCACAGATGTTGTTTTATGGAGGTTTGTTACATCGAGGTTCCACTGTAGATAAAGCCTGCTTTGTAAAGGGAAACAAACACGTCAAAGAAAAAGCTGCAAGTGATACTTCAATTAAAAGGCGGAGCCTGGCTAATCTAGAACTAAGCTTGGAACAAGACAGTGGTGTTAATTCTGAAGTAACTTACAGTTTTTGTTTTTTAATCATTAGATGACAGCTCTTGAATCAGCAGATGAAATTGAAGCTGTTACAGCAATAACATTCTTGTTGAGTTTGGTTATTAAAAGGTACAGTGTACATGTGACCTAAAAATAGAGCAACTGGTTCTCAATTATAAAATATTATAGTTTCAGTTTTCGGTTGGTTCATGTTCAATTGCATTTTATTTTTCTTCTGTAGTGTCCCTGATGCTATCCTCAAAGCAAAATTTTCCAAGTCTTGTCAAGTTCTGGTAAAGATACTGGCTGCTCATGCCTCAGATGGTGCTCCAGGGCTACTTAGACCTGTAAGCTTTTTAATAATTTTATAATTATTACCAACAGTTCATTATGCCATATATGTACTGTAGTACAGCTGTAAGGAGCACTTTGTTATCAGAACGTCATCTGACTTGAATAGCTAACAAGCAGACCTGCCACATTATAACCTAAAAGTGTAATATTCTACAGTATTATCTCTATGACTATTCACTGCTGTAATCCAATGTGGCATGAATTTCATTTCCTTTTTTCCAGACTTGCTAGTCATACGTGTTTGGGAGTAGATTTGTTGTTGCGCCTTGGCATTTTTTCTCACATTGTATTTATAGCTTTTTTGTGAGTTCTTCAGTTTCCCTCTCTCTGCAAAAAGCAGTGTTTCCAAATTGTAATAGGTTTTTATTAGCAATCCACTGTACAGATGTACATGTATATACGTTAATTTTCATTAAAAACTGAATCATTGGGTAATGCAAATCTAGAGCTGTGATTGGCTTAGCCATCATGGTGTATGAGCCATTATACCATAATATTATTGCTCCAGTGTTGAGGTGACACAAGTCCACGTACTGATGTTTATATTTCTTATCTTCTTACTTCGATAAACACCTTAGGCCCGGTTCAGACGCTGAACTTTTCATGAGCAGAACCTAATTCAAATTAAGGCTGACCCAAATTATTTAGACTGGCTAAATTGAGTCAGACGCCGATCTTAATTCCAGCCAAACTAAATTCAGAAGGCGAAAAATGCGCATTTCAGTCAAACTTAAGAATTTATGCATTAGGTTCGGTACATGAAAAGTTCGGCGTCTGAATCAAAGGTGTTCCAAAGTTGATTCAAAGGCGAAATTTCCGGCTGGGCTAGGCGAAAAGAACTGCTTAGCTGTTCCAAATTGAAACAGGCATTCCTTATTGATTCAGACGCTGAACTTTTCATTTAGTTAATTCAATGTGGTGATGTCATTAAAAACACTAGAACTAGGGAAACTGTACAAAAACTTGCATCAACTAACCGCAAACACAAAAAACTTAACCTTTTACTAAAAAAAATTGCGTGGCGCTTTCGTGTGTGCCCTAGCTTGTATTAGAAAGAACTTTGTAGTTAAATCTAGAAATTGCGTTAGCGTGTGCATGAAGCAAACAAAGATTTTGCATTAAAAATATGTGGATTAAACGTGCGGCTTATCTCCGTAGCTACACTCCAACCAAATTATTTATGTTTCTAAATCAACGTAACGATCATGAATGGATAATTTTACTCTGCACATCAAGCATTGTTACTGGAACTTGTCTTAGCCCACGCTTTCAAACAGGAGTTGATGTGAGAATTTGTGTCGTTTTCCTTCTTCTGAGGATTTCTAGATCCAAGCTTTATCTTCACCGAACGAACGAGGCCTTGTTGATCTGCTGAAGTACATGTATGATCTCATGATCCTGCAAAGGGGCCACTTGCTTCGTGGAACTTCTTCTTGAACGATTATGTCACCAATTTTCAGATTTCTCTTTGGCTGAAACCATTTTTGTCTCGAATTGAGGTTGATGAGGTACTCCTTTCACCACCTACTCCAAAATTGTTCTGCCAGAAACTGGACCTTTTGCCATTGTTTTCTGGTTTAAATTTCTTTCTTGACGAAACTTCCTTGAGGTGTAAGAAGTGTCTTGTTCTTCATGATGAGGAGATGATTTGTCGTTAGAGGCTATAAACTCTTTGGATCGTTCAGGCATTTATACGTCAATGGTTGACTGTTGATTGTAGCCATGATTTCATACAAGAAGGTGCACAGTGAGGACATTTCAGGCCTTCCCCTGTAATCGTTTAGGGCAGAGTTTAGAATGCTTCTTGTAGTCCAAATCTGTCTTCCCATACTCCTCCCTAGTGACTTGCATAAGGGACATTCGTAAAGAATTTGCTGCGATTGGTTGTCAGATAGGATTGAATCTTGTCATTATCTAACTCCTTCATGGAGTTTGCAAGTTCATTCCTTGCTCCTGCAAAGTTTGAGCCTTGGCTGGACCTTAGCTGTTTGTTTGATTGGTCCTCCAGTTGGTGTGAAGCATCTTAAGGCATTGATGAAGGCATGGGTTGTCATGTCATCTAACTGCTCTATGTGCACTGCTCAAGAACTCATGCAGGTGAATATCACTGTGTATCTGTTCAGTTCCTTTCTTCTTTCCTTAACTATGAATGGCCCAAAGCAACACAGTATGTAAAGTGTGCGGTAGATGCCACTCTATCTTCGTGGAGATCTGCCATCTTCTGGCCTTCTGTTGGTCTTCTCTGTTGTCTGCATTGTACTCATTTATAAACGTGAGGCTATGCAGCATTGAGGCCTAGTAACTGTATTCCTTTGGAACGAATTTCGTTTATCATCATTGCCTTTCCTTGATGCCTGACCCTCTTGTGAAAATGATCAATGACCATCTTCGTTATCTGAGAACATTTCTTGGTAGGATTATTTGGTGTTTAACATCAAATGGCAAGGTAGAGTTTTCCAGCCTTTCACCAACCCTTATCAGTCCTTGATCATCAATGAAGGGATCCAACCTTAACAGGGGGCATTGCTTGGTGAGCTTGGGTTTCTGCTCCTCATGACTTAGGCTTGGAATTTCATTCTTGAATGCTGGTCGTTGGAGCTCCTTAAAAAAAAAAAGGATTTGAGCATCTTTTCGTTCAGCTACTGTTGTAGTAACTGCCTTTGGCTTGTTCTCCTTGAAGGGTCTTCTCAGGTGTGAGATTACTCTGACTTCCCTTGTCCAGTTAGAGAATCTTGACACATAGTTGATTAGGTTGAAAGATTCTTTAACCTCAGTCGTGTGTACAGTTACCTTAACTTCTGGGTCTCCAATTCGAATATTTGGAATCTCTTCTTTAGTGGTCGGGATTTCTTTCTCCCAAAGGAATGCGGGTCCACTGAACCAGTTGGACCTCATTAGTTCTTCAGCACTTGATCCTCTCGAGGCATGATCTGCTGGATTATTCATGGTGTCGATGTGTTGCCATTGCTTGGTGTCAGTGTTGGATCTGATTATCTGTACTCTGTTGGTGACAAACGTATGGAATCTTTTGGTGTCATTGTTTCTGTCTTTAGAGTCGGTCCAAAAGTACTGTTTAAGATTGGTGTAGTTTAATTCTTCTTGAAGCATCATGCCAAGTTTTGCAGAAACTACTGCAGCAGTGAGCTCTAACCTTGATATAGTAGTAATCTTCAGTGGAGCGACACAGGCGTTTTCCCATCCTTAATGAGGCATTCACCTTTCTGTCTTCATGATGCAGATTCTAATTTTTTCACTGCATTACAAGAAGAGATAGGATTGGATTCGCTTCTGCTTCAGCGTTGATATTGGCCATAAAGGTCTTGAAATCTGGATATCTCTTTCGTTCTATCATTTCTCTTTTGCCTTCTCTGTTCCATCGAGAGATAAGCCAGTCTGGTAACTTGGCAAGCAACTTCTGATTTTCCATATAGTCATTTAAGATGGTTAGATCCTTGATTGTTTGCATTGCTGTTTCTATATTTGTTAAGAAATCAACGAATCCTCTGCTTATGGCTTGCTTGGCTGATCCGCTAGCGTAGGGTTGCAAGTAATATGTCTTGTTGCATAGAGGTAAGTTTTTTCGGTGTATAAGAGCATAGAAGGACAACTTCCAATCTGGATAATGGATGGGTTCATCACTGAAGGTGGTTGGTCTGAATGCTGGGAGGCGACTTAAACTGAATGAATCTGCTATTGTAGTTATGATCTTGGTGGTTTTATCAACACTTGAAGACTCTTGAAGGACACTAGGAGACTTGTGCATGTCTTGAAGCTGCTGAGTGGGCTGCGTTACTTTTGATGCGTTACTGTACTTCTGATCTTAAATGCCTGGGCTCCTGTGGCAGAGGTAGGGATGCTGAGGTTGTCAGAATAAGGGAAGCAGGCGAGAGATCGTGTTCGATGGGATCCTTCTCATTTTCGATCTCTTCGGTTACTTGGTATGCCTTTAGCCTCACCCTTGCCATGTCCAATTGTTTCTTCACTTCCATCTGTTGTAACTCCATTTTTCTTCGTGCCAGTTCTGATTCAATCCTTGTTGTTTCAGCCCTTAGCTGTGCCTCCATCTTGGCAAATTCTTGCTTACGTTTTGCTTCTTCTTGGGGGACGTTAAGTTTGGCTTCCTTTGCAGCCAGCTCTGCAATCACATCGGCTTTCCTTAGGTCGATTAGTGAAGATACTCTTGAAGACTTAGTGACCCTTGAGTGACCTGAGATAATGGATCTACTTTGAACAGGCCTTCTATCATTGCATGATGTAAGATTACCATCTTCAGATTGTTTCAGTTGATGTTCCAGAGTCTTGGTTAATGCATCGCATGCATCTATCTTTTGGCGAATTTCTTGTCCTTGGAGGCCGAACCTTCCATAAAGAAAGATTTCGGATAAAAAATAAGTGGATTAAACATGTCGCTAATCATGGTAGCTACATACCATTCTCTCCAAATATGGTAACTATACGTGTCTGCTTAAAATTAAAAACCGTCTGAAAATCGGTTGTGTTTACAAATAAAGTTGGGAAGAATTCACGATATTTTGTGAGCATTTTTAATGAAACAATTATTCCACTCGTGCTTGTTGGATATGAGATGATTATAGCCAACTCGGTGCTACACACCTCGTTGGCTATCTACATGTACCATCTCGTATCCAACGTGCACTCTTGGAATAAATGTTAAGTATACCAAAAAATGACCACCATATCATCATCATCGTCGTCGTCATCATCATCATCATCATCATCATCATCATCATCATCATTAATCATAATCAGTCATTATCATCATCAATCATCGATCATCATCATCATCATCATCATCATCATCATCATCATCATCATCATCATCAATCATAATCAGTCATTATCATCATCAATCATCGATCATCATCATCATTATCATCCTCATCATCAATCATTATCATTATTGTCATTAACACATAGTTCATATACATTGTGCACATTACTTTTAGTGCATTCATCCTTTAAAATATAAAAGTTCATTCACTTGTGATTTATGTGGAATTACTTGCACTTGTGAAATAAAAATAATACTTGTAATCGTGTCCTTTTTTCATTCATCTTAGCTGCTGGGCTGTCTGTGTAGGTTGTTAGGTGTTCAAGAAGGAGCTGTGTGGTCAGAATCATCTACAATGACCATTTACAATGGCCTACTCAGTTTTGTTATACACAGCAAACCCAAGGTATATAGATTTTGTTGTACTTCCAGTGTGTATGTGCACTTGAGGGGTCAATAAATAGGTCATTTTCCTGCAGTATCTACATGCATGTATGTGTATGTGGTTAACCCATTGGACCCTGGCTAAAACTTACCATAAAGTCATTTACAGGTTGTTCACTTCGTGGCCTTCTGATCCAGATGAAATTACTATTTGCATCTGGATCAGAAGGCGGCAAAGTAATATTATTACCTTGCGAAGTTTGGGCATGTGCAGAAAGTAAAATTTCGAGATACACGGCATTGTTTTTGGGTTTAGAAGTGACACAGTCGTCTTGACTTTTATGTTTCACTTTCTCCCCTCTCCTCTTGTATCGCTTTGCTTGCCTTAGTTTTGTTTCTTTTGCTGGGCATTTAGTAGGCTTCATTTTGGTGGGAAAAGTTTTTAGGAAAGCTTTTAGGATCTACTGTAGTAGTGGAACAAGATTTTCATGGTCTTTTTCTGCGGTTTCCTTGACTGAATTGTGCTCATTCTGGTGATCTCAGTTCATTAATTATGTTTGTTCGTAATATTATGCATGTAGGTCCGTAAAGCTGCACAAGAAGCTGTAACATTGCTGTTCAAGAAGCCTCCAGGAGATTTATCGTACCATCCAGCATCATCAGCAACTATCAAGTTCTGTGTCAAGCAGATTGAAGAGCATGGAGGTATGGTTATATGTAATGAATGATGTACATGTACTTCTAACTGCAACTTAGAAGGTCACTGAACTGCAAGTACATATATTATATAACTTGCAGGGTTTTTTTTTCAACTTTGCATCAGATGGTATCAGTGCATGTAAGTCTTTTGCCTAATTGGCCTCAGCAGATAACACCCTCCTCTGTCGCAAAATTCTTCTGATCATACTCAACCTCTGGGTATGGGTATGGGATTATTAACACAAGACCAACAGAGTCAGAAAACCTCAGCAAGCTTTACAAGATCTTCAAGTTTGGTGTTTATCAGGGCAATGATGAACAAGATACAGCCATCCAAAACTTGAGAATATCCTGAGAATGTCTATAGTAGACCTCTAAAAAAAGGTGTCCAGGAATCCATTGATCAATATTACCAGTAGTCTGACAAACACAGAACTTGGGGATTTTTTAAAGCTCATTATACTCTTTCTAACTTTGTTGGTCTTGTGCTGATAATCCTGTTATGATTGATTTTCATACAGACCCACATCCAGTCCTGTCCTGTTTAAAATCCACGAATGTTAACATTAAGTAAAGCTCCTAATCCTCTTCCAAGTTTTATTAATTTGTCAATCAATTTACATGTATGCACGTCATTATTTGTAATGGCCAAAGTTTTGCTAGCCTCTTAAACAAGAGGTTGAGTTCATGGTAAACCTTACACCAGCACTGTTTTTTTTAATGTCCTCACATGTAACACAGTGGCAGAGGGTGTGAGATTTTGTCTATACTTTTTGTGCGAAAAGTGATAAATGATGTTGTAGCTTGCAGTCAATGTTCAACTCATTGTTTGGAATAGAGCTCATATCTATTCCCATTCAGCAACATTATTTTATTATGTCAAGTCCAACAGTCAAATTTTAATTGACCGGCAATTGTTTAACCATTAAATCTTAGATTTCCCAGCACTAGACTATAGCTACAATGAGGGACAAGTCTTGAGACACATCTTTAAAACCATTAAATTACCCCCAAAATCTAGTTCTATAACCCAGCAGGATTTGTGGCATTTGTCATTTGAACAGAATGAAAATAATAATAAATGAATGAAATTTTTGACAAAAGTACACATTTTAGACAAGTGTGTCAGCTACTTTTGTCCCTGATTGTAGTTTCTGTAAATGATTGCCAACCTCTGAATCCAGGGAAGATGCATTTTTCTAATAGATCCTTGTCTTAAATAATAAAGGATCTGCACAAGGAGCAGTGACTACTCTTCATGTCATTGGTGTTCTAAAAGAGATACTTCCTCTTCTACCTGGCCAGGTCTGTGTTCATTACATTCCTAGAATTTTTTGCCTTTTGGTCATCCATTGGTTTATTTTTTACTACTGTTATATTTCATCTCATTTAGTGTTGTATTCTTACATTTACATGTACTTTTATGTATCAACCTGTTAGTGAAACCAACAAAATGGAGTGGTGATGGTAATAGCAATAATTTATAATGTATGGTGTAAAACAAATTTTTCTCCAGGAAAACAACACAGACAATGTTTTTGTCTGAAATTGTATGGTACCAAGGCTGTGCTCTAAGGAAAATTGAAGGGAGCCCAATGCTCTGAACCTGTAAAATCTAGGGTGGCCAGCATATGATTTGTATGAAAAAACTAAGATTTTCTGCTCACCTGAGAGCAAAATTTAGGGGCCAGAGGCCACTGGACTCTGCTAGAGCACAGCCCTGCAACATACATTTTGTGTACGTTTTAATTTTCAATCAGAGTTACATATTATGTGGAACACTATTTTTTTAAAAAAATTAAAAATTGAATGCAATACATAGTAATTTGTTTCTAAAGAAATATTCCTACTCAGGATTCTGTAAGAAACTGGCAGTGGTATATTTACTTATGAATTACCTGAAACCTAACTGTCCTAAATTTTACTAATTTTACCTTTTTTAGAATGTAAAGACAGTTTGTGAGTGCCTGTTGAAGCTTATGACACTAGGAAATGTGGTAGGTATGATGTCGGCATTGCAGTCAATAGTATCATGAGTTTTGTCTGGTGGCTTTGTTTACTTGGATTTTGTTTTGTTTGGTTTCATTATGTTTAGTTATTATTATTTTTTAAATAATTACTTTAATTTACACTACATGTATGATAAAGGTCATGCAGCTGCTGACCTTGAGGACCCTCTGATTTTAAAGTGCTAAAAAAATTGCGGGAACAAATTTGACCTTTAAGTGAATGAAATGCTGAACATCAAACAATTAAGACCACCGAATGTCTAAACAGATTCAATCCATGCTTAAGTCTTTGTCTGGTTTAGCTTTCTTTATTAACATTTACAGGATTTGAACTCACTTTCAGTCACTCATTCTTTGATAATGGCATCACGAGGTTGATGTTGCTGAAATGTCACAGGGTTTTATCATCAGTTTTTACTTGTTTAAATATTACTTTATATTTATTTACTTGATTCCTTTTTTTGTCAGATGGTTACAGTGAACTCCCTTCAAGCCATTTACAAGTTACTGTGTGCGTCACCTGACACTTCAACTCTTGGCAAACAGCTCAATGCTCAGCTTATTAATGTAAGAACTGTTACTGCATTGTTTCAGATAGCCAACAATGCCCAGGTTGAATACACTTACATTGGTGAAACTGGACATTTTCTGTCTCCTGGAAATTCCACACTGATGACGTTGCTAGTTGTTGACATACCCAGTCATCTGTTAGGATTTGGTTCAAAGTGAGGGAAATCGGGTGCTCTTCTATTTTCTCATTGTCTTTTTCTTTGACAGTCTGTGATCATTCCAGACAAGGAAAACTGATGGATTTTACAGTTGTGCATGTTGAAGATCAGTTAGCTAATTTAGGTTTACATTGGTTCCAGTCCCCACCACATTATTTCTCACTGTAGCTTGACTAACGATCTTTTGTAGTTGACTACACAAACTTGGGTGGCAAAAAAGGTTGAAAATAAAATTGAAAGAAAAGGCTATAATATTGTTCAGAACAATTCTTGTCTGTCACCTGAAAAGTTAGATACAGAACTTTAGTATTCAAAGTTCAATGCTGTGCTTTATTTACATACTTCCAGGCTCTTTATGACTATCAACCCAGTATAAATGATGAAGACCCATCACAAGCCTGGATCTCAACCATGGAGAAGGCTTATGTGAACCTTGGAAGGTGATGTACATGTAGTTTATTCAATAGTATGCTATAATTAAGTATCATCATTATGTTTTTCCTGTTTGAAAAATGGTATCCTAGTATGCCAGTTGTTATACTCACCTTTTAAACATGTACACTGTACATTAGCTGTTCAAGAATACAGTCAGGTGTAGTGGCTGTTACTTAATAGAGTGGATGAATTACAGTGTGAGCCCATGGGCTTTCCCTATTGTCCTCGCAAGAAAAAAAAGACAAAAGATGAGGTTTTGCATGAGGATGCACATTTGCTGCCAGCTTTTCATGCTTATAAGATCATGTCTGTAAGTCAAAATAGATTTAAAAATAATTTAAAAACTGGATATGACAGCTTCATAGCAGACAAGAGCACAGGGAGGAACAGCATTCACAGCTGGTAATATGTTGTGGTAATACGCAGTGATGCCATTTGGATTTTGCAATGCACCTGTGACCTTTGCATGACTGACAGACATATTTTTGGGAACATACCATCACCACTTTTGACAACTTTATTGCACATGTTGCAACCTTAGATGTTGAGGATGTGAAGCTCGCGGCAGTTCTTAAGTTGAACCTTAAAAAGTACACACATACATTTGTATGAATCGAGGATCAAAAATCAAGTCAAGAGTCATGATGTGATTCTTGATGATAGTGTATTAATTCTTGATGCTCAATTCCCGTAAGAATCACCAAGGAGAACGTTTCTTTGTCAAAGTTCCAGTTATTGACCCTCTACTCTTCATAATCTTGGGCTGTGAGGAATTTTCACACTTTGAGTAATCGTTTTACTTCTTGAGGGAACACCGTGAAATGTTTTTAAAGCATCACAGTTTGGTTGGTTTTGTTATGGCCATGTCACCCAGACAAAACAACCAAAACAGTACGAAATCTGCGATGAATGTGCTATGCTATGTTTATAAAAGAATGCTGTTTTAGCTAGCTGAATCCTGTTGTATAATACTCCCACAGAGAACCCAAATACTGCATTAGCTCCATCATAATCCGTTGCTATTTAGTTGACTGTTTCCCTGGGTCTTTAAGAGTCATTTTGGAAGAGATTTCAATCAGATTGAAGATAGTTTACCTTGCTGGTTTTTTAATGTTCAATCTTGTCTGACACACACTATTTATGTCTCAAGGTTTAATTAATTATTAGTAACTATTGACTCTCCTTGGGAGACAATCTTGCATTTTAATCTACAAGAAACATTCAGAACCGGCAAGGTAACCTGTCCTCGATCTGATTGAAATCTCACCTTTTTTAAAATGACTAACTAAAACACAAGTATCTTCTCAGGAACACAAGTGAATAACAACAGATTATGATATAGCTAATACAGTGTTCGGGTTCCCTGTGATACTCCCAACAGAACTGAAAATACCACCCTACAGAAAAAAACTATTTATTAACAGCCATATTTAAGAATACTAGAAAACACATTCATAAGAGAACAACATATAGATCAGAACAAACCAGTACATGTAATTGAACCCAAATGTTTCCTTATTGCAGATTAGATGCAGTGCTGGGTTACAACCACGTCCCAAGATTTTTTAATTCCCTAATGAATTACTATCTATCAGACCACTTGGCCCTTGCCACAGCTGTTCAAAATACAATGAAGGTATTAGCATTGCTATAGAATAGAAAAAATAATGTTTATAAATCTAAAAAGAAAGCTTTAGTTGTGTCAAATGTCTTTCAGATGTTAAAGAGGGTCTTGTTGATCATGATTAGGATGGGACTATATTTTTGTTATTAGACACATTTACAATGTACATGTAGAACCATGGTTTTATGTCTCACCTTGCTGTTTGAGTTTTGATCCATTGTCCACTTTTGCACAGCGTTAGCCTTTTATAGGCAGTGGTGGTTTAATGTTGTTTTCTACTTTTACTTGTAGACATTGCTTCTTAGTCTTGCACCTATTGCAGAAGAAGTCTGTGCAGAGGTTACCAAGTTGCCAGGTGCAAGCAATACATCTCTGCAGAAGATAATCAAGTAAGGGTTTATTTATGTATTTATATAAAGCCTTTTATTGCTATGTTTACCACTTTGTTATTGTCAGGGTAGTCACTAAGATTTCATGTTGTTGGGTACAAGCAATCAGTAGGCAGGAGAATTAAACAGCTACACGTAGGAAAATGTTCTGGTTCCAGTTTTTGTTTGTTTCCGATGAAAGATGCCAGGCATCATCATCATTGAACTCAGGGCAGACCTGCACTGCTGGTCCTAGTGGCAGCCCTGATTGTAAATCACTTGAACCCCGGGATAATGTGATTATTAGGTTGAATGATAGCTGAGATTTGTTCCTACACAGGTGCATGGAGTCAGGTCTTCAATATCGTTATCAAGCATCTTGGGCTTCCATTTTGGAAGTGATCAAAGTTACATTTGAGGTAGGCCTTGCATAAAATAAAATGTTCGATGTTGTTTTCATGTGTGTCTTTTACCTAAACCTTTTCAATCCCAGAGTCAACAGGCCATTTCTAAGAAGAAAAAGAAGAGCTGTTTGTTCAGAATCTGTAAAAACCTTATTGGACATTACTGCAAAACTAAACGAGTGCAAAACAAAGACTTTCAGCAAGAGAACCATGCAAGGGTATTGCATTCAGAAGAATATAAAAGGTTAGCAAAAAAGAAAATGGTGGTTCGGGAAGTGAATCCAAAAGAGTGAGTCAAGTGCAAAGAGGTCGAACAATAGACAACTACTGGAAAAAAAGTAACATTTTCCAACAAAAGTCAGATTGTGCTCAGTATAAACGACCACGTTTACATTTGGTGAAAAGAGGACGAAAAGTACAACCCACACAACAAGTTTGATGATCTGGAGATATATTTGTGTTGATAATACTGGAACTCTGACTGCGGTTAAAGGCAACATTAACTCTCCAAGTACATATTGACATCCTAGACAGGAACTTATGGCCAGTAGTTGTCTGGTATGTTGAAGATAAACACTACTTTTTCATGGATGACAATGCACCTGTTCACAGAGCCCACACAAAAGTATAAGATCAAAACAAAGTAACCTTTATGGAATGACCAGCATTATCACTATATTTACATACAATAGAAAATACTTGGCTGTACCTGAAAAGTGAGCTACAAAAGGCCGCGGTAAATATCACGACCAAAAATGATCTGTGTGAAATCCAGAGCATTTGGCGGAAGATCAAATTGGATTATTTAAGAAACCTTTACCAGTCCATACCCGACCGCCTAGACAATACAATAATCTCAGATTAGGAAGTGTGTTCGAGCTTTTTGTAGGTTAACTGTCAAATGTGACATTATTTGCTAATAAATTAACGCTGCAGTACCAATTGATACGGACAGTGTGAGGTTTTGATAACGTGTGTAACAGGCGATCAAAGAAGAAGGTTAAGGTGGCATGTAGGCTTTAACACGAGTGGGGAAAAGGATGGAGGGAAAGAGGAAGAGAAACCCTTCTGTCCTGTTCTTTTGGTCTTCTTGGTTTTTTTGCATGTCTAAATTTCCCCATCTCTCTTCCTGTTTGAAAGCACGTTATGTGGGCTATGTCTTAATAACCATTGTTAACACTATTTACTGTACCACAGTGTACCTTTTTATGACTTTTGAAAGAGGTATTGTACTGTAACAAAGAACTGTGAATGAGTCTAGTTTCTTGTATTTTAATGGAATGAATATGAAGTTCAACAATACGTTATAAAACTGTTTTTTTTAATGGTTATAGGAGATCAACGTAAATTTTAAGGTTGAAAAACTCCACATAGTAGTCTGTCATATTTAAAACGGCTAACTGTAAATGAACGATAAGATTGTCACTCTACAGATTCAAATGTGAGGAAACTGTAACAAAAACTTTGTTAAATATCCAGCTCAGTGTAGGTTACTGGGTGCAAGTTTCTGAATCATAAGATTTTCAAAACTTCCAATAATATCTTGCAAATGGTCTGGTATCATTGCAAAGCAACTCCGTGAAAACAGCTAGTGAACAACATTTACGTACTGTAGGCTAAAATTTGGAAAATGGCACTTTGTAAGCAAATTGAACAATAATATTGTGGAACAGTGTAGTGATGCAACAAAACACTAACAAGACTTGCACTGTCCTACAAGTATGTTATAATAGGACTTATGTCAAGTGCAAGACAACAATGTTTCAGCTTTTAGTTTCTATATTTTAATGGGATCAATGTCGATGAGTTTGTGGGATTGTGTGTCGTAACTTAACTTTGCCATATCAATGTCCAACAGCGTCTCAAGGACTTCATCTTCTTCTGCTTCTTCGTGTAATCCGGGTAGTGCAAACAACTTGCTGACTATTTGTTGACCGCGAATGTTGAGGTTAATCTTTGTGTTTCTTTCCTCTTGGTTTTCAACGTACAGTCTGTGGCTCCACTGGACGTTGCAAGCAGTTGACTTCTGTGGAATCTTGCAATATTCACAGAGTGCGACCTTTCCTTTTATTGTTACCTTTTAAATGCAGTGAGAGTATGAACTGTTCTTATTAATGCTGCTTATTCCTAGAATACGTGCGGTAATCTCTTTGGAGGTTGAGATTTTGTCAAGTTTAGGAAGTGGGGTTTTGAAGGGTTCCACTTCTTCTCTTGTACACTCTGTTTGCTGTTTTGGTGTGTTAAGGTATTTCTGATCAGCATTTCCTTTCACTCTCAGTTTATTAAAGAAGTAGGTGCAACCTTGCTTTAGATGGTTTGCATAATTGCCCCAAAGGACTATTTTTATGGTTCTGGAAGGATCTGTTACGTACCCTTCTTGCATTTTTAATTTAGTTCCTTTTATCAGAATTTTCTTTGTACCTCCTACGTAGGCAAGGTAGTCCTTTATAGGGACAAGTTGCTCTGATCTGGTGCAACATTGGCTAGAGATTGGATTGATGTGACATCTTCTTGGCCTTCATACTTGAAGTCAGCGGCTGTTGGTGCAATTGTTGTGTGTTTGCACATCTTGTACTGAGGCTGTATTTTTTTTAGCTTGACTGGTGATTTCTGGTTTTGAATGGCTTTCAGGGTGTCTTTTTTACCGCTGCAAAACATTCACCTCATTAAGTGTCAGTTTGTGTCTGGAGATTGCAGTCGAAATAGTTGGCATGTCCAGACGTTTTGACAGGTGATACCGAGTGAATGTAACATGTTAATTCTTCTCTAGGAAGAGAAGCAAGTAAGTATCATTTTTAATAAGACCTTTGTTTTCCATGACGCAAAAGAATGCCTGGTATGATTTTAGAGAGTGAGATCAGTTATTGTTTCTTAAAGGTACTTATGGACATTTAACAACTAACAATTTTTATGGACATTTAACAATTAACAATTTTCTTACCAGCTATAATGTCTGCTAGCAGCATCCAATCTTCTTTTTCTGTAACAGGTTGCATCGACTGCTCATTCTGAGGTTCCTGTTCTTCGCTACTTTATACATTTTGTAATTTTTCATACCAGTCTGGTACATGTTGCTTTGCAGCTGTGCTTTCCAGAAAGTCTTTCCATTTCGTTACAAATACTTGTTCAGTCCCTTCCTGATCACCCCAAGCATTGTTCTGATTTGTGTGCCGTGGTTTATACTTCAGCAACTGGTATTTACAGTAAAAAGGAAAGTTTTGTCATTTCACATTTGATGTGAGAGTTGGAAATACTCTAGGTATCATTTTCCCAGCCTGATTTACTAGCTTGTCATTTGCTACTTTGTATTATTTTGCAAAATTGATGAAATTCATTTCCAGAAAGTCAGGGACTTCTTTAACATATTTTTGGCCTTTGGAGTAAGTGTCAAGAGTAGAGTCATGAGTTTTAATATCTGCATCTCCTCTTTTAACTTTTACCCTATGAGAGCCGTTCAACTTTATGAGCACTACATTGAATGAGCAGCTTATCAGCAGTCAGAGATAACAAATGGTGCCTAACCTCTTTTGCAGAGTAATCATGTTTTTTTGCAGAATAATCACGTTGACTGAGTGACTTCATAATAATTTTTTAATTAGTTTACAGTTTTGGAATTATTGCATTGATTAATAAGAGAGTTAAATGCAACTTTGATTACAGACGAGTTTGGTTCACTTTTAGAAGGATATTTTGCTAGGTTCTCAACACAAGCATGATAGTCTACCACAGCCTGAATGTCACAATTTCCTCTTTAACCTTGAAGTTGAAGTTTCTGGTGGTTGTTAAGTCTAGGGTCATTTCTCTTTGTCACTACTTAAACTTTGTACTGTGGATTTCCAGACTTTGTGTTTATAGCCTCAAATTGCAGTTTGGTATGATCATTGTTTTCAAATGGGAATCCAAACCTGCACTTAAGATTCAACTGATTTTGTTTTTTTTCCTTAGACAGTATGCTGTACTGGATCGTGTATGTCTTTGTACTGTATTCAGTAGGTCAGCATAATCATCATACATTTCTGTATCAGTGTTGATGTCAACGTGACGTCTCTTACAGGGATGAATAGTTGGCTTTACCCAAGTTTCATTACTTGGAGGCTTTGGATTATATTTACATAACAAACAATCTTCATAATCGCATATTGTTTGTGAAGCTTCTTTTCCTTCAGTGATGTCGTTCTTTGAATGTACAAAGTCTGCGTTATCAGCTTTTCTAATTGCTTGTTCAGCTAAGAAACCTTTAAGAGCTTTTTCCGAAAGATCACATAACCCTGGGTCGTTCGTAAGTTTTGCCACACCATGACAGTAATACTTCCTCTAGCTTTTTACTCAAATCGGTACCAGTGCCACTCAGCATTAAGTGATTTATACAACCAATACTTTACAAAGGTTTCTAGTCTTGATGTAAAAAACAGTCAGTAATGTGTGGGTTGCTTATTGCATTTTGACAGTTACATTCAGGTGATAGCAAATTTTCACACAAATGACCAAATGGGGCATGAAGTTCAGGCCAATGCATGTCTGCTGAGGAAAATGTTAAGAAAAATGTTGGTAGCCCATCATGTGATATTACTGCCTTTAGATCTTTTTTAGCTTTTGGCCAGTAGGCATCAGAGCCACTGATATTACCAAGATAGCGTGATACCTTAGAAGTGAAGGTACCTATATTGTTGGTTGATGCCATTTGTTTAATCTCTTCAGTGGTCGGATGTGCTTCTCCAGGATTCTGTTTCAGAAATATCCCTGTGTGTTGAGGAATATGCTTTCTTTGAGTCATATTAAATGCCCAGTAGGCAAATCTTGGGTGTGTGGCAAAGCGATAAACCCACTGGGTACCTATTTTTTCCTCCAAACTTGATGAGGTGTTTGACTCTTTCTGCAAATGATAGATCTCATAACAAAGCTGGGTTGGTAGGATCACCACAAGCATTAGGAAACATTGTTGGAAAAGCGAGAGTCGCCAAGAAGAGAGTAATATACTCATTTATTGGTTCATGTCCTACTGTTGGCCTTCTTATGTGATCAGGTTGTTGACACAGGTGTTGCTGAATAGCTTGTGCTTCTTTTAATTGACAATCTGGAATGGGTAGGAAACTGTTTTTTCTGTTCCTTCCGTATAAACAATGTCATCCTCATTTTGATTTAAAGCACCTATGTTAGGGTCAGTAGGTTGAGAATCATCAAAGTCTTCAGTTTCAACTGACAGAAGTTCATTTGGTATCCCATTGTCAGGCAAGGAACGTAAGGAATTCTGATTGACAATGATATCTTTGTAGTGTGGATTATTAGTTATTAGCCATTGCAATACCTTAGCAACATTTTGTCTTCGAACAAATAAATCTTTATAGTTGTTGTCTTTGCCTTTTACCTCAATAATTATTACGGATAATTCCTTTGGATATCTTGATTAAGTCTGTGCTAATTCTGAAACATTTTGTGGTAGGTTTATCCAGTGACCTGAAAATCCCTTTTGCCCACCAGGCTTTAAATAAACATGAATAAGGGGAAGTGCACGTGCTATTAGCATTTACTCAATTTGGGTCAGTCCCTGAAGTTTGGGAGGCATTGGTGATGGTACCATTTTATTCTACCTTGAAAACTGTTTTGGTTGTACTTTATCAGTTGCAAACCTAAGACAGTTATATTTGTCTCGACTGCGATAGGAACTTATAGGCCATGCGTCGTAACAATGCTGCACTGATAAACTGAATACTAGTTTGATTTTTGAAAGGCATTGAGGTTTCCCTTATTTGCCGGACTGCTCAGTGATGGAAGTATCAAATTCGTTGGATGTGATGTCATCTACAAATGCTGTTCTGCATCTTCTTGTCTCGTTTTGCAAGTTTTTCTTGTGTTTGCTCATTACTTTCCTTTGAATACCTTACTTTGTATCCCTGCCTCTTATCTGTTTTTGTTTACTCTTATTTGTTTGGTTTATGAAAACCATCAACATTTGCTTCATTTTCTGACTGCTCACTAGAAGTATCAAACACTTTGGACTTTCGCAGGCGTTTTCTTGCATATGCTTGCCTCCTTTTTTCAATCCTCTCTTGCTTTTACTGAGTAGTTTCCTTTGAACACTTTACTTTGTCTCAGCCTCGTATCTGCTAGTCTTTGTTGTTTTCTACTGATTTCGTTTTGAGAGTTCAGTTTTCCACAGCCAGGTTCTTCTAGAGTGAGCCTTTTGTTGTTTTTAGTTTTTGAAATTTGTTCAAGCTTTCTCTTTAATTACCTAACTGAAAAATTTCATGGTTATGACCAAAATACTCGACGAGTGCACCTATTGAGTTCATTCAGAGAACTCATGCTCGATGGAATACAAGTACTATCACTCGTTTCATTTTGTAGAAGACTACAATTGGTCATGCTTAATAGCAGACGAGCACACTGACTCGTTTCATTCAGATTGCCACCACAATGGGTAATGCACGATGGAAAGTGAGGACGATGACTTGGTTTATTTTGTTAAAGACCTTAGTGGGTCACGGACAATTGCATACAAGAACAATGACTCGATCCATTTGGTTGGAGACAATAAAAGGTTGGCTTACTGTTGTAAATACAACAACAGCAACGAAATGAAGTGAGCTGACAGAGACAAGTTTCGTCCTATGAACTCGACGCCAAAGATGTCGTTTTTACATGTCTTAGAAAGGCTTTGACAAATAGTTGCCATGAATCCTTTAAACATTGTACAAGACAACTTACGTAGACAAAAGAAGCAGCCAAAATCAACAGGGCACAAGATTGAGCAGTTGACCTCGTAGCAATGAATTCGTGCGTGGTGATTACGCATGCATATAAATTAAAAATGGCGACAAAAATGGCCCAAATATGTGGCCAACAAAAAGGAATATGAAGAATCTGGCATAAAGTGCCTCTACTTCGGTAGCCACGAAAACAAAATTGGTAACCTTGCCTTGAAGAATAGATCGCGTTCTCCTTCGTCGAACGCAATGAAGCGTCATCTCACTAACCATTAAGGTAACTTTAAAGTTAGATTTGCTGAAAACGGTGCTGAAATTAGCGCGCGTAAAATGTAAACAAATGCCGCCATGTTGAAGGTGACGAATACTTATTTCCCTTGACTGTATCTTGGTTCCTTGTGTTAGTGTAACATATCGTCATCCCCAGTTTGTTCCAAAGCTAGTAAGCTTGTTGTGGGAACCTCTATATACTGATTGTGTCTCATTTAATTTCTCAATTTTAGGTCTTTGGAAAATACTGTCCAACGTTACTGAAAAAGGTAAGCCATTTAATAGCCTCCTTCAATTAAAACGGGCGAGGGTCTTGTTCTTGAATGGTCAGAAGTGTTAGATACAATGATAAAACGGTGGAAGAGTCACCTAACCGAGCTACCCTGGGTGAGCCTTTTACATGACAAAAAAAAAGGTTGGCCGGCTCGGTTAAAATGGCATGGTGCGTACAACCTTGAAAAGTCCTTGAATTCATTGAAGGTCCTTGAGAAGTGCTTTAATTCTTTAATTATTAGGTCTTGAAAAGTCGTTGAAATTCACTACCTTGTCGAAAACTATTTTTTGCATGAGCAATATCTTACTTCTGGCCCCAGTTGTTCAAAAGCTGGATAACGATATCCACTGGATAAATCTTTTGTGCAGTGGATAACGCAATTGGTTTCTGTTATCACTTATCCGCTGGATAGTGCTATCCAACATTTGAACTGGGGCCTGATTCTTTATTTTCTTTATTTTTGTCAAAAAGTGAAGATGCACATGAAACGGCCGGAGCTTATCCCGGTTTCATTAGCATGAAGCATCTAGGAGTATTACTACTCCCCCCTGGACAGGATTCTAGTCCATCGCAGGGTTAACCCCCAGCAGTATCTCGCCAGTACCCATTTATACATCTGGGTGAAGCGAGACAAAGTGGAGTAAAATTCCTTGTCTAAGGAAACAATGCGATGGGCGAGGTTTGAACCCCGGGCCTCCAAACCCTGAGTTCGAGGTGTTATGCAATCGGTCACACACGCCTCCATGCTATTTATGTACCTCAGATACAATTGCAAGTCATACCCAATCATTTTTCAAAGTGTTGCACGGGAAAGTAGTATATGATAATGTGATCAACTATGGCTGAAGAAGTAAAAATCGTAAATGACTTTATGACGTGTTTTAGCCAATAAGGTGTTCACGAGGGGCTGAAGAATGCCGATTTCTTGAATAAATCTTAGTGCTTGAAAACTCAATTTGTCCTTGAAAAATCCTTGAAAAGTCCTAGAAATTTGTTTTTCTTCAGTTGTAGAAACCTTGAATGGTGACACGGCCAGTCATGTCACCCTTTTGTGATCGTAGGGACACCTTCCCAGCCGGGCCAACTTTTTTTCATATAAATTAACACTTTGGCTCGCCCACCCAGGTCAACTTGGTCAAGTATGCACCAGTGCTGTTGGCTTCGCGAAGGGGGTCAACTTTTTTATCAGATAAACTCGTGCTTAAGAAGCTGACTTGGCTGGGATGGTGACTCTTCTCCTCAGGTCAAGTTTTGTCCATATAAGTGGGGTCTTAGTTGTATCATATGTGTGGTCTATTGTTTCCTTGACTGCCACATTGATGAATTCTCTTTTGGTGCTGTTGTTGTTTGTTGTTGTTGTTGTTGTTATTATTATTATGCACTGAACGTGTGCGCCTTGGTGAAGTTCTCCTCAAGGAAACTAGAATTCCTTGGTGAGGTTAACCTGCGATCCGTTTCTTTTTCCTTTGCGTGTCCACCGAATTTTGCCCCCCATCCCCTCCAAAATGTGCGTGCCTTATCACAGGTACTACAAAATGGATCAGTGGCTTAAAAATTAAGGTTTAAGTTTTCCTGCAACAAGGGCTATTTGAACTAGCAAACCATGCAGGTTCTATCCCAAGTAGATTGGCCCGTGCTGACTGAATTCTGAACCAGAACACTTTCTTACTGCACTCAAATGATCTCTGACAGCAGGATTGGATGTTATTGTAATTATAAAAGTTTCACTTTGTATATCTTTCTGTGTTATTCTTATTACTCGGAAGCTCTTGACATCACTTTGTGACCTGAGAGGAACTCATCAGTTTCCTCACATCAACAAATTGGACCAAGCCGTTGGTATGGCTATTCAGAAAATGGGGCCAAGGTACGAACTTCATGTTATCAATAGTGTCGCTCTCATTCTCACTGGAAACTCTCTTAAATTACCATTAACTTAAACTCTGCCGCAACCGGAACTATCCTTTATTTTCCTTAACTCCTTTTTTAATGAATTTTAACGAGCTACGTGAAACCCTCTGGTGCATGTATATGAGCTGCTACACCAAGCCCAAGAAAATGGACCCATGCATAAATCCTCCTCTGTCGTTCTCTTATATTGAAAAGAAATAAAGTTGTTAATATCTGTCGGCTTGTTTTCATGAAACAATTATATCACTCACTCACTTGATTATTTCACATTTGTCGCCTGTTAGACTAAAGCAAACTTGGCCTTAAGCAACTGATCTTATTTGAAGTGTGTTCATTTTTATTAATAGATCGACATTTCAATTAGGTACCGTAGGTTTTATTTTCAAAATTTAGTCTACATGCTATTATACATTCGTTCTCAATACAGTTCGTTCAGTTTTTCCTTTTTTTTCTTTTCTTGTTTTTTTTTTAACGGCATAGCTTCTGCATTTGAATACTGACTTAAAATGTTGGACTGGAACCATGTACATTAGCTTTCTAGAGAACACTGCATTTTTGTCAGCCTAGAGCCGCAGAAATAAGTGCAGTATATCAACTGATGGAATGCACTCCACGCCATGTGTTTCTATTGTATGCCATAAGACAAATAAAACGTTATTGTTTGGTTAGCAATCAAGGTCTTAACGCTTTTTTCTTTTATTTCCAGGCTTGTGTTGGAAGCTGTGCCGCTGCAACTTGACAAGGAACTGTAAGTAACATCCTAATTTAAACAGAACAGACTAAAAATAGCTGTTGATTTGAGAATATCTTAATGCTGTTGCTTTTCATCAGTAGGATGCGGGAAATGTGTGCAAATTCGACAATTGATTTCAGCTAAAATTGTCCTTAACGTCCTTAGCTAATTAAAGCTTTGCTGTAACTGATCCTACAGTAACTGAATCCAATGTTCATTCTTCATTAAAAATATTCCCGTGTCTGTAACATTCTTACTTCTGTGCAGAAGGAGATGAACTGAACAATTAATGTTAAACTTCCAGTAAATATGATACAAGAGGCGGGTGCTAAAACTGAAAAAGAAATACCTGTAGATTAAGGGTAACAGACGCGGAGCAGGTGTCCGGTCATTTTGCCATTCTATGTCTGGTACTTTGATACCAGTATTTGAGTTTTTTGTTTAATTTTTTTTGAAAATCATAATTTTTTTTACTTGAGCAACTCACGATTTTACTGCTAGTCCCCCTCCCTGTCCCCCTGTTCCCTGTCCAACTACCCAATTTCATTAAAAAATTTACCTTTTATAGAAAATTTGAGTGAACTCCAGCCTTGCGTGGTAAATTGAGTTTTGGGTGTTTCTGTGTGTTCTATTTTAAAAATTTCCTAGGGGAGTATGCCCCCCAGGCCCCCACTAGGTAGCTCGCGCCTTCGGCGCTCGGAAGGCGCCTTGCAGCGCCAAAACATTTCGCGTCCGGTGCTTTCAGATATATGTCCGCTAACTTAAAAAACTGTGGAAAACTCTGCTGAAGAAATACAGTCAAACCCTGCTTTACAGACATCCACTTAATACGGACATCTCATTATTACAGAAAGTTTGCTTTACCTCTTCTCTCAATTCAACCCTCTTAATGCGAGCACCACATTGATACGGACACCTTCTATGGCCTTCTCAGTGTCCGTATTAATGGGTATTCAATTAACATTATTGGTGACAAAGTGTTACTGTTTATTTGCAGAAGTGGAGCGTGTAACTTCCCCCGGAGCTGGCTTCTGCCAGTGTTGAAGGATAACGTTAAAGACACTGAACTCAAGTACTTCTTTGATGTAATGCTGCCTCTGTCTGCTAACCTTAGAACCAAAGGTAGATTTGCGATTTTGAAACTGGTATATTTCGCCTGTCTTGGATTTTTTTATGACCACTTGTAGTTCCACGTCTAAACGTTTCCACGTGCCAAGATATCTGGGTGCGTTCCTTTGCGATGATCAGGATCAGGATCAGTGTTCCAAGATCACTTGGATCATGTTGTATCAAAATAATGAATCGACGGATCCTTGTCCAGAGTGGATTCATCAGCTCATTTGGTGCGACGTTACCCAAGTGATCTCGGATCACTGATCCTGACCCAGATCATCCCAAAGAAACGCACCCTTTGCAGAGTTTATTCTAGAAATTGGCCAATGAGGGTCAAATGGGCCCCCTTTTGTAATTTTAGGGGGCCCTTTTTCAAAAAAGGGGGTCCAAGAAAGGATAAAAAGGTATTCTACATGGGTCGGACTCGCCGGACGCTTTGTCGCCATTTTGGAACATTCTTGGCAACTGAAAATGCCTGGGCTCGAATTATTGCAGAATCCTGGATGTTTGTCTGGTGAAATAATGACTCAAACGAAGAAGAGAAAGGCAACTGAGACAGTAAGGGGCTATAAAATTTCAAAGTAAGTTTATAGAGCGGCCATCAAATGATTGTTGTTGTCAGTGATGTTCTCGAATACTATATTTCCAAGAAAATGGTACTTATCCTTGGGTCTATTTTTTTGTGCGCCATTTGACGCAGCAACGTAAATTTTATGCGGCATTGTTTTCCAAATTGGGGAAATTCCGCAAGGCCACGCTCTAGAATAAACCCTGCTTTGATAACTTTCTTGATTTTAGCATCTTAATCATTTTTCACCCGTTCTTATGGTGGTTATATTGTGGCTCAATCTTATCTTTGGTACAAATTTTATTTTCCTTTGTTTTTGGGTACGTTAGTGTATGATAATGAGTTTGACACAAAGGAAAATGAAATTTAAACCAAGGATAAGATTGAACTACAACTGTTACATGGAAGTCTGCTGTGTACCATGTTCCATGTAAGTATCCAACTGACTCTTTTCTGAAATTGCATTGTACACATTTTCATCTGAATTTTAGCGATATCACTAAGAGAAGCAGGGAAACTTCTGGAAAGTAAAGTGTATGACACTCTACAACTTCAGGTTGGTTATGAGGCTTGTTGTTGATTCTTTCCTCCATTCTGGTTAATATCATTAGGCTTTTTTATTGTTTAGGTTTGCTGTCAAATTTTAGATCATTGCTTGATTTTGGTTTGATGTGACTGATCATTTCTTTTAAGATATGGGACCTTTTGCCAGGATTCTGTACCCGTCCAACTGACTTGTGCCAGGTAACAATTTGCCTTTTATGAATTAGGCTCAAAATCTTCAACTATGATGAACGTTATTTTGACTGTGTGGTAGGTTGTTCCTTTGCATTAAGGTTCACATCGCCTATTCCTGAAAAGTACAACACAGCTTTTCGTTCGCCGTGCATTTATTTGTAAGGGCAATATTTTACAGTCTTTTTCGTTATATTTACATTGTGAATTAAATTAGAGTTACTTTTATGTGCGAATATACTTTATTTTCAATGAGATGAGAATGAGCAAATTTCTCTTTATTTTCAATGTAAATAGTGGGATGAAACAGGGGAGGGGGGAAGAGACGAGTTCTGGGACCGAGAAACGATGTTCTCACAACTTGCAAAGCGGTCACCCAGCGTGGTGGTCAGCGGATAGTTACGGTATTTTTCCCACAGTAAAAATAATACTTTTAGACTTTTTAGAAGCAGGAAGCGAACCGACAGAGGAAATCAGAAATGCTTAAAAAATTGAAAAAAAATCATATCATGCATCTTTGTTTTTCTTGCATACCGTATTTGTCTTTCGGTACTGAAATGCGGGGAAACTAAAACGCAACCGTGGTAGATCTTAACCAACAACAACGCGCTCGATGGATTTATTTAAAGGTTACATCGTTTTTGCCGGGCAAGGGTAACTTGATGCTGATAAAAATTACTGGAGTAAGTGTCAGATTTATCGGAAGCAAGTATATTCAAGAGAGCGTTATAAAAATGAGCTTACTGCTCTACATATCATAACTGAATAAAAATTAACACTTCATAACATTTCACTTCGTTTATTTCGATCAGTCAACACCTTGAATCCAAAGTTAAAATTAAAAACGATCCTAAAACAAATCACAACTACTACTGAAAGCTCTGTACCTTGAAGCGACTTTAACTTTCCTAAGGTTTGCAGCAAAGCACTGCTCGATAGCTCTGACAACTCTTCGGCGGTTCTTAGCAGCTATACGGATCCGGAGCTATATGTTGCATATTCCAAACTCTGCAAAGGGAAATTGTTTAACAGAAAAAGAAAACCACACACTATGTCTGAAAAGCGACATAAAATCAATAAATTTGCGAATTACCAAAATATAATAGTGAGAAACAGTCCCGCCTTCGACTGCCATGTTTTTGTTTTTTCTCAAGACCGTTGATCTATGGTTTTTGACGTAGTGCGCATGATCAGTACACAAATCCGCTGGCAAGACCCTTGCTGATCGCTTTGCAAGTTGTGAGAACATCGTTTCGATTTCATTTAAGACAATGTATGGGAAGTAGCTTCCCCCCCCCCTGGGATGAAAGTTGGTCTTCATATCTTGATTACAAACATGCCGAGTGTACCATGTAACTCATAGTCACATCCTGTTTCAGTCTTTTAAGTCTGTGGCGAGGATATTGGGTGTGGCACTTACAGAGAGACCAGATCTGCGTTTAACCGTGTGCCAAGCTCTAAGGTTGCTGGTCTTAAAGTCATCTGATAATGGTAAGTAATGTAAAAATGTGTCAAAATATACTTCAGTATAAACTTTAAAATTAGATTTAATCCATTGGACCATTTGATAGTCAGTGGAGATCAAGAATTCTGCTACTACAAGTGATGTCAGCCAGACCAGTTTGAATTTCTAAATAGTACAGCGGAGACTTTGGAAAATAGCCTAATTTTATTTTCCAAATGATCAGTGTGCTAGGAAAGTTCTCACTTGTGGCCAGCAGTGAGTAGCTTAAGCGCTTTTAATTTGACTGCCTAAGTGAACTAGCAGTTGCTTCGGACTTAGGTTGCTACATTACCTTTTCCATCTTGATTTACAACTAGTGGATGACTTTTCCAGGTTATCAGAACTGAAACTAAGGCTCTGATTACTAGCGATCCCATCCCTAACCCAGTTTCATTCTGGAGCGAATTTCATGTTGGTGTTTGGTTATTAGCTTCTCTGTTCGCTTTCCAAAAGAACTCATGGCGGACGGGGTTTCCCAAAATGAATATGCGCGAAAATATTGCTACGCAAATTTAGGGAGGTTTAGAAAGCTGTCAACTGCTTCTGAGAAGGAGGGAAGTAAGTGTTTTGCTTTACAACAGAGATCAAATAGGCCCTTTTTTGAGTCGCCATAAGCCTCTGTTTCAAAGTGAGGCTAAGTGCAAAGCTGTTAATAAGAAATTGATTTTTTATTCTCATGCAAAGGAAACTCATTTTCTCAAGAAAGGTTTTACACTTGTTTTGAAAGTGTGAGCTTTTGGAACTTGGAAATGGCCCATTGTCCTGGGACCAAACCGGTCCTCTCCCTCTCCGCTTTATTTCCTCTTAATTTGCTTTTGAATCGGTGTCAGTTAAGAACCTGTTTGCACTCTTTTGCAACAATGGACGTGCCATTATGAATGTATATAGCTTACCATTGATAGATTATGCTTCGTTTCTGGTAATTGCTTAATTGCTTAATTGCTGTCAACATTAGCTGAGAACAGTAAGGAGTTGTCTTCATACGCGAAGAACTACTTGCCAATCCTGTTCAACTTGTACACCGCTGAAGAAAAGGAAGGTGACCCGGACAAGTTACCAATCCTGGAAACTGTCAGAGTGTATCTGTCCATCACGGACTCAAAGGTTAGTTTAATAGGGACTGTCCCTGGGCAAATCAACAATTGAAAAGCTAGTAGTCCTGTTCTTATTTGTCTATAACACATTCAAAGATTAGTATTCCTGTGTTAGTCCGTATTAATGCTGCATGCACACAAAACTCAAGAACAGTCGAAGCACTCGCAAGTGACCACCTCTGAAATTTGAAAAATTGGTCGTAACTAAATCTGGTCACTTACGAGAAAGAGCTTCAGAAACTAATTCACAAAGAAAAATCAGAAGAAATTAATCTTTAATGAGAGTCTTCAGTGATCTGATGTGGACACGTCTAAACTTTACCTCCAATTTTTTAGACCAAAATAACCCCAAATCTTAATATTAGTGCAAGAATGAGTTGAGTGGTCGCTCACGAGACAGAAACAAAGGAAAAGTCCAGTTGTGTAACCCCAAAAGTGATCGCGGTCGGTTATGGGAGTGGTCACTTATGAGAGAGGTTGCAAGGAGAGCTTTGGCTGTAGAGCAAATAGTTGGTTACAGGACAGAAGTTTTATACTCTGTGGTCATTATTGCTAAATGATTCCGATATTAATGAGTATTTCATATCTACAGATTGCTGTTATTAGGTTTATTACTCTGCATTGAAAAAAGTTTAAGTAGTGTAGTAGTGTTTTTTCCATAATTATGGTTTAAAGTTGTGTGCCACAGAAGGCTATTGTTGGAGCAACGTTTTCTTTTTCCAAAAAAAAAAAAAAGAAAAATGTTGATCATGGTCCAGCATCGATGAACTGTTACCAAGTTTATTTCTCTATTTGTCTGTTTCTCTCTGTCTTTATTTATGTTTAAACTCGTACTCGATCGAGAATTGACCTCTAGTATAAACAGTTTGCTGACAGGCTAGTTATAGTACCGGAAGGCGTTTGCAAATACGTTTACCTATGGTGTTTGAATTTTTACCGTTTTATGTAGTTGGTAGCGACTTTCTTTGCCAAGGGATTGGAGAAGCTGTCTAGTGGCGAAAGAGATGCGAAGTCAAGGTATGTTTGCATATGACAAACGATTCATCCGTTAAAATCGTCCATTGTGGTCAAGTTTAGTCTCATGTGTAGATGGGAATAGCATACTCTCTTGTAATATTTCTGTATCACCTGTTTTGATCCATTTATTTAATTTTCTTTGCTAAGTCAAGAAATGTAAAGTTACTAGAGTGACAAGATGGCTTAGTGTTAAGTTGTCGCCAACCTACAACCCCAGACAAAATAGTTGGGACACTTGGTTCATCCCCCCTCCCCCAAAGAGAATGATAAGGTTACGCTGGCGGTTATCGAACCCTTTCATCCTAGTTTGCATGTCTGCATCATTAGATGGTGATGCTTATCCATTAGCTTTGTTGCAAATTTGAAAAAGGGGACAGTAATTATAACAGAACCTACACTGCTACACAGATCTTGATGGTTTTCTACCAGTGATCGTAGTGATTCGTCCACTGGGCGCAAATTTCTGAGTAGACTGGCTGCTGAGTCATTCATTCGTCACAAAGTTGTAATGTTAATTGTAGGAACTTGATGATGGACTTGGTTATAGCAATGACTCCGTACGTCAACGAGAAAAATATAGGGATCCTGTATGACATGACTGTGCCGTGGTTGCAGGTTGGTATTTTCGTTTCAGTGCAATTTATATTGCTGTGCTATTCTACGAAAATGTGAATACAAATAAGTGGTTTTAAGAATTCAGAAATAAATGGGAGATATTACTTTATTATGACTGGTTTCTCTTTACCGTGGTTGCAGGTTGGTATTTTCGTTTCAGTGCAATTTATATTGCTGTGCTATTCTACGAAAATGTGAATACAAATAAGTGGTTTTAAGAATTCAGAAATAAATGGGAGATATTACTTTATTATGACTGGTTTCTCTTTATAGCATATTATGGCTTTATACAGAAGCCAACACTCACTTTTGTATTGATTAATACCTTTAGTCACTCCCACCTGTAAACAAGATAGTTTTCATGACAGGCATAACTTGAGTACAGCATCTCAGCTTTTGGTCTAGAATATATCAGTGGCGAATAGTTTGGGAAAAACAAACATACCACACAAATGTTTATGTTTCTCTTCAAGGCAACAGATATCACTCAGCAGAAAAAAGCTTACCGAATCTTGGAACAGATTTGTGGCGCTGATTCTGAGAGTAGCCTGAAATTTGTTGTGTCCCATCTGAAGGAGCTTCAAGACATCTTACTCAAGACTCTTGCATCATCCAGCTCCGCTTCCAAGACTGTAAGTTCTACAAGCTCAGCAAAATATAGCTGGTGGACTTACTATACAATATAGGACTGTTTAGTAAAACTACAGAAAACTCGAACAGGATACATTCACAGCATAGGGAGGCCTTAGATCCATCTTTGTTTTGCTTCACTCTTTATTATCCGGTGCCGTACTTAACAACAAACAGGATGTAAAACAGGAACAAAGTGTGAAGTCGACTCTTTTGTCTTGTCTTACGGGGAGTATTGGGTGGGTCTAACTCAGAGCAAACTGTTTTTTTTTTTTTTTTAAAACAGGATTGTTCAATGCCGATTATCACCTGATGGTCCTTCTTATCCTAACTAAAAATCTATTCATCATTTTATTCAGTTTTAACACTCGTTTCACAGGTAGCCGAAGCTCGAAATATGAGCGTGGGTGAACATCAGCATTGTTATGTAACATTCGAAATACAAGGATTTGTATGGGAGAAAACCTATCGTTTCTGTAACCTACGAAAATGAAAGGATTTCAATGAAAAAACAGCTTACCTTAACTTAAAATGTTACGTCTCTCCTGTGTGGTCCATGGGCCGATTTATGGGTTTTTCTGTAAACAGTCTTTTCTCTATATCAAGGTTTACCAAGGTTGGGCACTCCAGCAAAGCGGCCCGACTGATCCACCAAAGGAAAACGGCTGTAAATTCGCTCCAACTGCTCCAATTGCCTCCAAATTCCGCCTAGGTAACACACGATAGTTCTCCTTTCCATTCGTTATCTTGCTTCGAGATGCCTGTACACCGAGAGCGAATCAAAGGTCGCAAATCTCTGCAACCTTTCCCATCTGAAGCCATCGACAGAACCTTGGCTTGAACTCCGCATTAGTGTTGAAAGATAGCGACATGGCCTGAGACTCAAATTACTCACACTCATGGTGGGAAACAGTCTCTTCCTCCCGTTGACATCAATACGCGAGAAAGAAAACAACGGGAGAAAGAGACTGTCTCCCACCCCGAGTGTGAGTAATTTGAGTCTCAGGCCATGTCGCTATCTTTCAACAGTAACGTGGAGTTCAAGTCAAGGTTTTGTTGATGGCTTCAGACGGGGAAGGTTGCTGAGATAAGTGACCTTTGATTTGCTCTGGGTGCAAAGGCGTCTTGAAGCAAGATAACGAATGGAAAAGAGAACTATCATGTGTTACCTAGGCGGAATTTGGAGGCGATTGGAACAGTTGGAACGAATTTACAGCCGTTTTCCTTTGGTGGATCAGTCGGGCCGCTTCGCTGGAGTGCTTGGTAAACCTTTATATATAGAGAAAACCGTCTACGTAAAAACCCATAAAACGGCCATAAATCGGCTCGTAGACCACAGAAATAGATTATTTATCTGTTCTGTTTGCCCTCAATGTTTTAGCTGGCACAATCAAAGAAGGCACAGTGACAGATGATGAATTACTTGATTTGGCCAGAGATGTTTTTACCTTTTGGAAAAACCTGGCAGAAACGATAGGTTTTTGTTTATATTGCGAATGTTACGCAACAATGCCGATGTTCACCGATGCTCATATTTCGAGCTTGGGCTACCTGTGCTCGTTTCTGTCATTTTTGCCAAAGTGCTTTTATATAAATTGTGTTCATTGTCAACATTTTGTCAACATTGTTATCGTATGATGTGCCCTAATTGTTGAGTTGATAATAGGACATAATGTAAACTGCAATAATATTGACATTTCTTTTTTATGTGTTATATTTCAGCCCCGCCTTCGTTGTCTAGCTCACATCGTTCGTAGATTAGACAAACCTGAACAATTCATTCAAGCAATAATCCCAGAGGTAAGTGTGTTCACAAAGCAGGCAATTTTGACCTATCTATTGTGTTTGTTACTTTCATCATTAAAAGGGTAAATGAAGTCCTTCTGATGAATTAACTGCTTTAAAACTGATTTCAGCTATTTTTGAAAAGGGTTTTGGTGGGGGAAAAGGGCATGATAAAGTCGCCTCCCAAGACAGGAGGGGGGATGTTGACTCTATTTGTTCAGGTTGTAAGGTTAGAGTAAACCAAAAAGCCAAGACTCAGCTGGCACGTTGTGACAGTTGCTAAGAGAGCGATCTGCATTCTGAACATAAAAATTACTTTTCATTCATTGTGAAATGCACATGTCAGAGTGAACCAATATTGGAGTTTCTCATCCCATTAAATAATGCCACAGATGCTACTTTTGACAAGCCACTAATCCTTGTACATAGTGAACTGTTGGGAATTTTGTTCTTTCATTTGGGTTACGTAGAGCACCACGTTTCCTCCATATTCTTTGGCAACATCTTATTCTGGGCAGATTGCATCTTCTTCCTTTCAACTTCATTTGACATAAAGCATTATTTTGTCTTAAGGGTCTATATAATGCAATGTGATCTCTAAATTTGTCCTCTCAATTAGGTCATCCTTTGCACTAAAGAGGTTGCAGTCAAGGCTCGTTCCTCTGCATTCACCCTGTTAATCGAGTGCTGTAACGCCCGTTTCCGTTCCTCTGACAAGTCAAGACAAGGTAACGTTCACTTATTAAATCGGCTTCACAATGGTTACAATACCGAGATAGGATATACATTTGAACAAATTACAAGAACGAGTTGCAGTGGTGCGGGACACACCCCAGGGCAAGGCTCCAATTTAGGTGTGACCTTAAGAAAGCTACACAAATACTAACTATGCTAAATAGCATGACATCTCGACATTTATAACACTACAAAAAGTATAAAAATCCTATTTCCAAGTACTGTGAGTAACACTTCACTTCCACAGCTGCTAACAAGTGTCAGTAGCAGTAGCTGCCAGCTAACGGAACATTATGTGACCTGCTGCATTTGCAGCAGATCGACTTCCAGGTGTTAAAGTTAGGGAATTTAACATCCTTATGAATGGCGAACTTCTGTCAAAGATATGTAATCTTTATGTGTGGTTTGTTGTGCTTTTAATTTTCTCGTATTATTGAATTAGCTCCATGGAAGTTGGAAAACAAATAAAAATGAATATGCAAAATTTTGAGAATCACTTCTTTTGCACTGTGTTCCAATCTTCCCAAAACGTGAATTTTCCTTTTGTTTTCCTAAAGCTTGTTTTTGTTGTTTGTTTGAAATCGGCTTTCATATGTAGTAAGACCAGATGGATAATCCACAATTACAAAAGCAGATCCACGCAAACAGAGCATGGCATGTCTGCATTTTGGAGCGTTTTTGTCGGTGACTAGTGTTAAGCTAACTAACGTTTTGACAAGCAAAGTGACCCGCTTGTCTTTAGACTCAGATTTTTTTTACAACCCTTACTTACAGCCTCGCTTGTACTACTTGGCTTTTGTTCATTTGGAAGAAGACATGGCTAAGTCGAGTTTTTTCCTTTTAGCCTGACATGTGGCGTATTATTAATTATGATTTGCTTTGTCCTTTTGCTAGAATGCCTGACGTCATTCCTGGAGCTGGTTGTTGCTGGTATCGCTGGCTCGCCTCATATGATTAGTGCAACGGTTATTTCTGTTGCTAGAGTGGTGTATGAATTTAGAAGTAAGTGTTGTGATACCGTGGAACCTCTCCTTAGGGACGCCTCTATTAAATGGACACCTCCATTCAAAGGACACAACATTTGGTCCTGGAAAAAAAGTTCCCATAAATTTTGTATCTGTCACCTCTATTGAAGGGATACACCTTTTCTGGGTCCCAGAGGATACCTCAGCACTTAAAACGTGACTGGCCACAAAGAGGGTTGATAAGTTTAAGTGTACACTAATCACATTAATGACAGCAATCACAAACTGAACTATCTCATTTAAATCAATGCACTGTACTTGTGAAAATTCAACCCCAATATCGTAGAGATAACGTTATCATTTTTTATACATTATCTAGCTACTTTAAGATGACTGCAGCAGATTCTAGGGCTGAATGAAAAATGTATATATTGCCTTTGTTTCCTAACTATTAACAAATCCCAGCCCAACCTCCATTCAGGGAACACCTCCAATATATATATTTAGCCTGGGCTAAAAGCAAAGCTCTCGTTACCACACTTATATCTTACTCACACAAAAATAAAATCGTGTAATGCTAAACGGTGGCGATGGCATTGAGAACGGCAAGAAAACAACAACAATAGGTCTCATTAGCAAAACAAACCAACAACATATTTGCACGTGCAGCTCACTTGGTTTTCTTTGCTGTTGTTGTTGCACGACTACAACGAGGAACTTTCTAGTTACACGTTTTGTGGAGGATATGTCGTATTTTCTCACCAAGAAAAAAATAATGCTGCTAGTGTTTCTGTTCGCTTTCTTTCTCACTGCCGCTCATTTAAACCTTACTGGCCGCTAATGTTTCTCATTTTCTCTGTCACCACCACTATTAAATTTTTCATGTTGTGTTTCTAACGAAATTCATCTCCTTCGTTTTTATCGCTCGCTCTAGCTCTTTCTCTGTTATACACGTCAGCCTAGACATTAAAATTTAGTCGAAAAAAAGACTCGGCTTGTCGTTGTTTTTTCTCTCTAAAAGTCCGGGCAGCCAAGATGACTAACATGGATGTCTATCACCAAGTTAAACACAGGTTGCAGGGTCCACTCAGAGTAAAAAAGGTCATTTCACATTGGTTTATTATGGGTTAATCTGTGGTGCGGACAGATGGGCGTACGGTCACCAAAATTTCTTGGATGCATGGATAACCCAAATTTTCTCACCCATTGTTCTCTGTACATCACGCCCTTTGCTAAGGTTTTTGAAGCTTTTTTTGCTGTTTTGTTGTTGTTTTCTTTTTGCTTCTCCTTCTTGTTTTTTTTCAAAAATGACACTGCCACCTCGACTTTTACCTTTCACGTTCTCTTTACAAAAAGTCTTTACACCCGGAGAGCCTAAACTGCATGTCTATTAGTAGATTTAATGGTGAAGGCTGCCGACTTCTCACTCGGTTCGTTTCTTTTCGGTGCAGGTGAGATTCCCAGTGTGTTGTTGGAACAGCTTATTCAGGGTATCCTTGTTTGCCTGCGGTCTGTTGCTAGAGAGGTGATCAAATCATGTCTTGGGTTTTTTAAGGTAACGTAATATCTGTGTTTGTTCTATTGTCATTTTTGGGACATGCCCTGAGAGTGAAACAAAGTAGGTTACTATGATTACCATGGTGTATCCCCATTCACTTTCGAAGCCATTTATGGTGCAACCATTCAAAGGTAACCTTTTTGGCAAAATCGTTAGATGAAAGTGTTTATTTTTCTGTATGTCTACATCTCTTAATTTGGAACGTTTTTTTTCCAATCTTATATTTTGATATTCTGAGATAGAAACAGAGTAAAAGAGTTACAAGAGATCCGATACAAGGGAAGAAAAATTCAGCTACTGTAGCGCTACCTAAGTTGCTTTTCATTTGATGAAGTGACGTAAAATCCAACTTTTTTCTGGCTATCACTACTAGTAGGTAGCTGCGCCTTCTTCTTCGCAAATGTTTGCAATCGTGCCTTTCCCTTTTTTTTGCAGGTTATCATTTCTGTTATGAGTCAGCAGGACTTACTTCCGTATGTTCCAGATATTGTAAGTAGAAAGTAGTCAAAGGAGTTGGATATAATGTCCGTAGAAACTTTTTGCTCTCGTTTTACTCAATGTTGAGCAGTTCAGTTCATTTTATGGTCATGCACTTACTCCCACTGCATGCTACGGTGAATAGAATTTATTTCGTTTGGCCTATTTGAAACGACGTAAGTCAACTACAGTCGTATTGGAACATGGGATCTGTCATTTCCATTTTGGGTACGAAATTGTAGGGGGGGAAGGGGAAGGGGAAAACAAAGGCGTGTTTAATTGCATTGCCTCGTGAAAAGTTTCTTGCATAGAGACGCTGTGTCAACCATCTGTATTTTGTAAATATGACCTAAGGTGGTCACTTCGGGTATCAAAGGATGCCGCCGCCGCTATTGTTTTAAGGCTATTGTTCTAAGTTGTCAATCAAATTAAAAATTCAAGATGGCGCTCGGAGAGGACTTGGAACTTAGTTACTTATGCACTTGTAAAGGTGAAGTTATATATGTGGATGACAGTCACGACTTACAATTGTGGGACAGAATTTCTGTCCCCTGCACAGTACGCATGCGCAGTACTGAATCTTACGTAAAAACGTTCTAAAACGTTGTTGTTGAATGTGCAAGAAGAGAACGGGGGTATAGCTCAATCGGTAGAGCGCTCGCTTTGCAAGCGAGAGGTTCAGAGATCGAAACTCTGTGCTTCCAAAAAGAAAAATTTTTTTATCGACTCTACCAGGACTTGAACCTGGAATCTCCTGATCCGTAGTCAGGCGCCTTATCCATTCAGCCATAGAGTCTCTATTAAAGAAAAAACAGGGCATAGCGAGGTTTTGATCCCCGTACCTTCGGGTTATGAGCCCGACGCGATTACCATTTCGCTACCATCCCCGCTACAAGCGATTCAAAGAAAAATAAAGATCTAATGCTAAAAGTAATTTATTACAGTGTTTTCAGATAGCGTTGACACGTAGCGCATAAGACATTTAGGTCGCCGACCATATTATCGAAGATCAAAGTTTTCTCAGGGTTTTTGACTTCTTTCTTCTCAGCGTCTCTCTTCTTCTTGTCTCTTTGTTGTCTCCTCATTTCTTTTCTTTTGAGGGTTCGAATATACTCTTTGAGTGTGAGAATGTGAGTTTCTTTGAGTTTTATAACAGCCTTGAGATGTTTTATTTCTGCTTGACAGCCATACCAAGCTTCCCCGAGTTCCTTAGTCGTTGACATCTTTAAAGCGTGAGCATTCTAAACGTTCCTAGAATGTGTGTATAGTTTTATAAGAAAACGCGTTCCAATGAATGGTTTCGTATGCTAATTCATGTTCGCTTTAAATTTGTATGAAAACTCGCTGAGTCAGCTAAAATAATGTTGCTCCTAGGTCTTAGAAAAAAAGAAGACCTGAAAGAGAGAAAGATTGATCCCGTAAGCTTTAACGTAATGAAAAGTTACCTGGCGTCGGTACTAACGCTTAACGCTTTGCGCTAAGCCCGTTCCCGACAAAAGTTTACTACAAAATAAACTAGTCTTTCTCATTATTGGTCATTGACTTTTAATCATGTGGTGGATCCTAAAAGAACCGTTTTGTCATAAGACATTTAGTAGGATCTGTTTTTCCTACTTAGAAATTGAGAATAGTACGCAAATTTAAATGGTAGGCTGAAATTATTTGCCATTTCTGGCCTGGTACTTTCTCAGAATAATACACAGCGATGTGTTTGGCAGGAAAGCCTTCCGCATCTGTACCAATTTGCCGGTTTAGTTTAAACACGAACAAATAAAAGCGTCCATGATATTCGTTCCAGCCCTCGTGTATTACGGAGACGTCTTCGTGATGTTCCCAGGTGAGTTCGGAGACAGCCTTTAACAAATCGACTAAATCGATTTGTGACTCAAACTTAGAGGCTCTCAAATGTTCGTTCTTTGAAACATGCCTCTCGTTAATATGGTCTGCTTGTTCTTGCGTTAGGAAAGTTCCCTCGGTTTCAAAAGGCGAAGCCATCGTTGAAAATAAAATTTTTTCTGGTTCATCTTAAAACAGATTGCAAAACAAAAGAGTCCTACTTGAAAAAGAGCGAAAAGGGTAATTGTTTCTGCCGCCCGCCGTTAAACTTAAAAGAGCAGCGAACTTTTTTGCCGCTAAGGCTTAAAAACTTGAAAGAACAAGAAAAGTTAATTGGTTTTTGCCGCTTCCCATTTGTTGTCCCCCGCGCCAATGAGCGTGAATCTCGCATGAATAGCATAAAGGAAGGGTGAATTTGGGAAAGTCATTTTGCTCTGCTCATCACAGTGCCAAGATATCCGATTGCTCAAGATGAAGACATTATATCAGCTCGCCTTTGACGCAGTGCCAAACAAGGGTTTAATGGCAGAGACGTTTCTTGTTCCTTGGCATCCAGTTGCCCAACAACTTCAAGCTCAGCAATACATTGAAGACAGAAATAAGTACAGAGAACAACATCGCGTCAATTTCAGGTTTGTCTACGCAGATTTGTGTTTTATCGAAGCCTTGTTTTCAAACTCAAAAATTTACCCGAGCAATGTTGCGTTTTTAAATCGATTGTGGAAACAAATCGATGATTTACTTTAGTTCATGTTGTGTTTTTAGACCGATTCTGGAATCCCTGTTTTGGATTAGAGGTTGCACATGGTTAAGTGTGAAGACCAAATGTTGTATGATTGAACTGTAAAACGTATTTTTAAACGCGCTTGTTGAATGTTTTATTTTTAGAAATTGTTTGAATCAGTTGAAACTTCGAAGATGGAACATGTATTGCCATAAAACAGAATGGATTCCCGTGAATGGGAAGATACCTATGTGTTCCCAATGTAAAAGAATTAAAACAACGCAGTAAACACTAGACGGTTTACGTTTAAAAAAGCAACAGAAATTTGTTGATAAAAATGAAGAGGCGCGTTTAATTCGACGTTTTTACTATACGCCAATTCGTAGACGCTTAGAATTTATGTAAGTTTTGTTTTTATTTTCTTTAGAAAATGTTTGAGGCAGATTAAGAGACGTCGTTGCTGTAGCTCAGTACAGTGGCTTTCCTTTAATCAAGAACACTGTTCTCAATGTATTCGAATTTGTATTGAGGGTTTGAGCGTGGAGGGTCAAATGAGACAATCGTTATGAAGCTGTTGATTTTCAAAGTGAGCGAAGAAAACTTTTTAAGTTATATAGACACACTAGCGCTTTACGTAGACGCAGAAATCTTGAACAGAGAATAATGAATTCTTTGGGTTTCTTTTAGAAAAGTGATGCAAGATATCCGTTTTTCACCGCTAAATCCTTTTACAGAGTGGATTGAAATCAATAGGCAGACCACTGATTTTCGTATCACAATTTTAAATACAACGATCGATGATTTAAAGCTTGTTGACAATCCTTTTTTTCCGAGTATTGAAACAATGATTGAACATTTTGAGCGAACCTACACTCACCTAAGATTAGAATTTCCCTGGTTTTTTCGAGATTATCAAGATCACTTTGTTAGACCAGATTCATCAGGAATCTGATATGTTCCAGTTTGTAAATAAGAAAAAAGTGCTTTGAAAAGGACTTTAGCCGACTAGCGGTTAAAATACGTTCCTCTCATTGCATTTACTGAGAAAGTTATTGTACCGTTTTACCGAAGGGAGGTAAAATGTAAATAAAAGTTAAGTTTGCGTGTAATTTACTTGTGTCTTTGGGAAAAAAGAAATGAACTGAGATCTGTCAAATGAACCCTTAGGCTGAGGAGGGAATTTTCTTAACACTGATTGAACTGAGATTTGTCAAATGAACGCTCCGGCAGGGGAGGGATTTTCTTAAAACTAAATGAACCGAGATTTGTCAAATGAACGCTCAGGGAAAAAAGAACAAAGAGTATAGCTGACTCAGCCAAAATTAATTAGAAAAACGAACAAAGAGTATAGCTGACTCAGCCAAAAATTAATTGGAAAAAACGAACAAAGAATTATTACAGAAGGGATCAGTTAAAAATAAATTAGAAAAAGAACAAAGAGTATAACTGACTAAGTTAAAATAGGTCATTAGGCAATCTTGGACAACCTTGAACGTTTTTTGTTTAGGATAACTTAATGACATTCAAAGCACGTACTCCACAGCTAATTTAACTCATTCGTGTCTCTGAAAGCGTCATTCAGTTTTTACTGTCTTACTGTGTGGAGCTTTTTGCAAACTATTTTTTGAAAACGATGGATCCGTATATTCATGCTCTTATGAACGATGGGCTCGATTCCTTGTTGGAGGAAATACCTGACTGGACGACTAGTCAAGGTGAAGAATTAATGGACTCGGAGGATGAAAGCGATTTGCTAATTGCGGCGCGCCGAGCAGACCAGCAAGGAGGGAATCCCTTGTTTTCTGTGAACATGGAGCGAGTGGGAGCTGCGCGTTCTTTTCACCGTGGTGTGGCAATTCAAATGCAAGTCCGATTTTCTCTGGAGCAGTTACGTCAACGGAATGGAGAATATCAAGGAGAAGCGGCGGCGGAAGCCTTCCACCAAGGGTTGATTAATTTCATCCGCGATCCTCGCAATGGTATTGTCAATCCTCAGGATTATTCCATGTCCATGGCTATTCACCACAGTACAGGGACACATATACGTGGACCAGCTGTCCGAGGGTTCCGCTTAGTGAGTGGATTCAGGGATCCCCACTTACTCGACAATGGCTAGAAAGACTGGCTAAACAGCTCAACTCGGCGGAAAATTTTGATGCTGCGAGCGGTGATTTTTACGCTGAACTGTCTTTTTTTAAGACTCAACAACGTGGTGGAAGACCTGCGAAAAACAAGCCTGGCAACAAGTCCTTTGAGCAGTTACTCAAAAAGAAATCCGTGATTACCATTAAGAACAAACATGACCTGTGTTTTTCCCGAGCCTTGGTTTCTGCCAAAGCCTTTGACAAGACCCTCAGTATCAAACGATTTTTAAAGGACAAGGACTGCAGGGTCATCTTGCGTACAAACGGCATCAAGAAACCGGGGTTCCTGAGGGAATGTGCGGGTTGCCAGAAATACAGCGAATGCAAGACCATCTTGGTCCTCAAGGGTACCAGATTAAAATCTATGAAGGAGTCTGTGGTGCGCTATGGTATTGTGACCCGTCGTTTGATTCTGCGCCTAAAAAGCTGTGTCTGCTGAAAGTGCAACAGCATTTTGACGGTTTACGAAGTGTGCCAGTCCTCGTAAACAAGACCTATTACTGTCACCGATGTAACAAAGGTTACAATCAGGAGAATGCAGAGCACCATAATTGTTCTCATCAAAACTGTGACATGTGTCGAAGAAAAAACGGTAATGCACTGATTATCAAGAAAGAAAGCCTGCCCATGTCTACTGCAATGATTGCGGTCGGTCCTTTTACGGTCAAAACTGTTTTACCGCTCACAAGAAAAGCGTATGTCGTTTGTTCAAAAAGTGCCCGGAGTGTTATAAAGTGTACCAGTATTCCAAGAAAAAGAAGCATGTGTGCGGAGAATATCGTTGCCCCAACAGTCGAAACAAAGTATTGCCAAACCATCAGTGTTACATTCAACCCCTTGAAATAGATTACAGCAAGCTTCTTGACCAAGCAGACGAATTTAGCGAGGAAGACCGTGCGATTCTTGAAGATCTGGCCGAAGTTGAAACAGTGGAAAAAAGTAAAGAAGAAGAGGACGAGAAACCGCCACCGCTGGTGTGCTGCATTGACTTTGAATGTTGGTTGGATGAAAATCGTGATTTTGAGGATGTTCGTGTGGGGTGGCAATGTGTCAATGTGAAAGGTAGCTACCGCGAAGCAGGAAAGGCGTCGGATATGTTGGAGGATGTGATGGCAAAAACGGTAACCACAGAAATGAAACAACGGCAGGTGTTTGTGTTCGCTCACAATATGCGAGGGTTTGATTCGTCGTTTATTTTGCAATTGTTGTATGATAAGGGCTACAAAGTGGAAAAGGTCTTGAGTATGGGGGTGAAATTTTTATCGTTTCAGTGTGGTAATGTCATTTTTCGGGATTCCCTTAATTTTTTTAACATGCCTTTGGAATGGTTGCCGGTGATGTTTAATTTGAAGGAAGCGCTTAAGGGTTTCTTTCCTTATTCGTACATTTCTGAAGACAAGATCAGTTACATTGGTGTGTACCCAAAAGCGGAAGAATACCATCCTGAACGTATGAGCGAAAAACGAATAAAGGAATTCATGACTTGGCACAAAGAAAAAGTGGACAGTGGTGCCATCTTTGATTGTCAAAAAGAACTATCCGCGTACCTGAAAAGTGATGTCAAAGTGTTAACAGAATCCATGGAAAAATTTGCTAGCGAAATGTTAGAGTTGACAGGCATAGACCCTACTGTGGAATGTGTGACCATTGCGAGTACTGCGTTTAAAGTATTCCAGAAAAACTTTTTGGAACCCTACACGATTGCCTAGGAACCCCTCGGGGGGTGGCGCCACAATCAACAAAACCAGAGTGTGGAGGCCCTGCAGTGGCTGGAATTTGAGAATCTCAAGATTGGTGGCGGAATTCAGGTATGAATTTTAAGTTGCAGTGAAAGTCTGCACATTTTAAATTGAACTTGCAGTGTTTTTCAACATATTTCGGTTGGCGAAATGTTTTATACTGTGCATTTGTTGTTGCACGCTACAAAACAAAAATTAGAAGGAAATGTATGGGAAATATGTGTAAAAAGTCTGCTTTTTTCAAACTTACATTGCAGTGTTTTTCAACATATTTCAGTTGGCGAAATGTTTTATACTGTGCAATGGCAAATGCACGACCGAAATCAAAAATTATAATCTGCGGACCGTCAAGGTAACAATAACAAATGTATATATTTTTTTTCTATCTTTCAGTTTATATTTAAATTCATTGAATGGGGAACAAAAGTGATCACGCCTGTTACCAACTGGATGGCTACCCAGCCCCAGCAAACTGTTTCAGTACCAGGGTTGTATTTTTCACGGATGCTGTAAATGTTATCCAAAGCAAAGAAACATTTGCTTCTGCCATCCCGAAGAACGTCATGAAGTTGGTTGAGGCAACCCTGAAGAAAACAGAAGGCGAATCCAACGCTTGTTCAGGGTAAAACCGTGATTGAAATGTGGGGTTTGCGACATCGCCAGACAGAAAGAAACTGATCCCTAAAGCTCGCCAAATGATGAAAACTTTGAATTGTTCCATTTTTTGAGCCTGACCGAGTCGAACTTGACCCTGTACGCCAAAATGGCAGAAGACTAAGAGACTATGTTCGGCTTGTATCCGAGTATTAACAAGTACGGTGTCTAAATTCCAAGGGGGCCAGAAAACCAGTACAATTACTTTGGTTAAGTGGATATCGTATTTGGGGATTGTTCCACCTGATGAGTCAGGGCTGGTGGAAAACGGTGACTTTTCCTCTTTGCAGGTCCTGTGTTGAAGAAGAGATAGCAAACCCCTGGGTACCTGACCATGTGTGGTCACAAGTGGCAGCAATGCTGAAAGGTACTTGGGTTTTCCCTGAATTATGAAGCGGTTGAAAAAACAAGTCTTGAATTACGAAGAAAACCATGAAAGAAAACATCCTGGTTGAAGCTTAAACAAGAGAGCGCCGGATGGCCTGCGGGAGTAGAAACCGGGGAGCAGAAAGCCGCCTATGTCCGCGATTACAAGGAGCACGAAGGCATTGATCTGGATCCTGAGAAGGTTGCTGTTAATCCAGGTCGAAAAAGCATTGCTAAATTACTTTTGAACAGGTAACTAGTTGCAGTCTTTTTCACACTTAAAAAAAATTTGCTTGTGTTTGATAAGCGTGTGATTGACCCCGCCACTCGTTCTTCCACACCCTACGGTTACAACTGGCTCGGTGGAGACGTTGAACTTTTAATGGACTTGTAAATAGTGCGGGTATGGTTTGCTTGGTAGCGCCAACCCGCTTTAGCTTTTGTATACAGTTTTTTATAGGGGTACAGTAGCTTGGAAGCGCGAACCCCTGATAAGAACAATTGCATGCTTTGTTTTGAGATTAAATTAGGGTTTGTAACATTTCATCGAAGGGAGGTGAAATGGCTCAATAAACTAAGTTCGCGACACAATTGATTGGTGTGGTCTCTGTTAGTATAAATAGAGGGGACATGGATGGATAAGTTACTTTTCGTAAAATGTCGAACATTTACCTGACCCTCGTAAGCGATGTCACGCAAAATTACGCGAGTCATGTGGCAAATCAGGTTAAAGTCAGACCTGGGTTAAGATTACACGGGGAAGGATGGAAAGTCTCAATTGCTTCGGCAATTTTGCCTAAAATGTCTCTATTTAAAGACTTGCAGAGTGCCGATGTGAATTTAATGGAATTATGGGCTGAGACTGAAAAAGCAAATCAATCCGGTGTGTTGCAAAAAGGCTATATCAGTGCAAGTGATTTACGTGAATGGGAAAAAGCAGGCGCCTGTCATGAAGGGGTGGATTTTTTTAATACAGTGAAACATAGAATAGAAGAAATAGCGCACGCTAGTTTGGATGATGGTTTTAAGTTTAGTTCAGCCCGTTGGCATACATTAGCGTGGAATAAAGACGGGGTGCAACCGGAACTTGTCTTAACTCATAGCCATATGGACAATTCAATTTATATCTACAAACCGTTGGCGGAAACATTGCATTGGATAAATACCAAGTCTAATCAAGCCGATAGCATGGGACCAAATTTGGTACATAGCTACCCCAATCACACTAAAGGAGCCAGTTCCTTGGAGACGGGAAAACCCACCCAAATACTTGGCAATTGGCTTCATTTAAGTACTCTCTCCGGTTGGCGTTTTATTAACCTCAATCAAAGTTTTGAAGATGCCTTAAACCTCTACCCCAGACCCCTGGAAGTCTCAGCCAAAGTGACCGCTAACAGCGTGACCGTCACGCAGTCACTGGGTCAAGTGTACTACGCGCCTCAAGGAAGAGAACGCTATGCGTTTTCACCCACCCAAGAAAACTTTTACGAGGTACAAGACAATCATTGGGAAGAGGTTGAAATCACGCTCAAAGAATTAAATGGCAATCTAGTTGAATTTCAATCAGATAGTCAGTGTGTGATTCGACTGCATTTTAAGAAAGAATAAGGCACATACAACATTTCAATTGTAACATCAAATTTTATTAAGTGAATAAAAAAACAGAGTTACAGCTTAAGTTTGCATTTTGCTTGCATAATGGTTTTGACGATCCGTTCTTGTTTGGTTTTCTTGCCTGGGAGGTTTGTAATAGCGCGAATCATTTTATCGTCCGCTTTCGACTTATCCTGTAAGTTTTTCGCTTTGGAATAATCGATGTCATGGATTTTGGCTAATTCGTCTAAACGATTTTTGCCGCGAAGTCCCCTCCTCAGTCTTTCCTTAAGCCGGGTCCCTGGACCAAGATAATTCATTTTAGGGCAATGAAACTCTTTGCCTGTTTTTTCAATTAATTTTTGAATAGCCAACGCAGCCCCATGCCGACCGCGCTTTTTTCCCTTTTGCGGTCTTTTTCTGTAAACCTTCTTTTTACCAGTCTTTGCCATCCAATCTTCTTTTCACCGATGTCCCAAATGGTTTCCAACCTGAAGCAGGTGCGAGTTTCTTTAAGGCTCTTTCTTGAGCTCTTTTTGCTGCCTCGTTAAATTTTTTTTCAATACTCTCCTGAGCTTTTTTCAAAGGGGATTTAGCGGGAACGTCTTCGTCCGCCATACTAAAAACACTGGAAGGAGGGGAAGGAGTCTTTTTCTTTTTAGGGGTCTTTAACCAGATGAAGGAGTCTTTTTCGGGGTCTTAGGTAACAGCCGCTTTGCCTTGGATCCGGTCTTAAAGGTAAACTTGGGTTTTTTACCCGTAGAAGGAGTTTGTTTGACCACAGGAGTTTGTAACACTGATTGAGGGGTGACCGGTTCTGCTTTCCTTTTTATAGCCTTACTGATTTTTGAAACGTTTCCCATAAATTGTTGTAACGGGCCTACGGCTAAATTTCCTTCATCCTCATCACTGTCGTCTTCATCGCGACTTATTCCTTGTGTTCCTCCTGGTTGACGAATTTTCTTGACCCATTGTTGTAATTCTCGGTTGACTGATTTTAAACGAGGTTCTTTCCATGTATCCGGGGCGGGACTCTCCAACAAAAGTTCTTTTTGAGCGGCTAAACCTGCTGCTTTGGTTAAACGGCTATCGTCCAAAAGATTAGATTTATATTTATCACGCAAACGTAAAAATTGCACTGGGGTTTCAATCGGTGTGGATGAAATGCCGTCCATGCTTGCTAATGAAAATAAGAGTTTAGCCTTGTCTTTATATTGGTTTGGGTCTGTATCTCTCTTTGACTTTTTGTCAAAACTCTTTGATCATTTGTGCTAGTAGAAGCAAATAGTCTAATAGACAAAGAAGTTGTTGTAACACTTTACGTTTCATGACTTAATAGCGATATTGCCGTTTAGCACAGTGATAACAGCGATGTAATTCTTTCCACGCGCCAGCGCCAATCTGTGAACTCATCAAATGTTTGCGCTTTTTTATACTCTGACGAGGGTTGGCAATGACTCAAAGAGATTGACGATATGGTTTTAAACGACTCACTGTTTTTCTCCCAGGTTTAACATTCCCACGCAATGTGTTCATCACTAACTCACTCACAGCATTAATTTGATCTGCATTCGCATACCGTAATTTTTGTTGCCGCTTATTTTGGTTAGCTTTTTTTAACACATCGTTTAAAAAATGACTCTGTCTGGTCATACGCCCTGTCATGTTTATTTCTTTCTTTGTGTTCGTTGACGTCTCTTCCTTTTATACTTCTTTTTCTCTAACGCTTGGATTGCTTTCCTAGTACCAAATTTTGTTAATGCACTTAAACCTCTTAACACAACCGCTTTTCCTCCAGCCGCTAAAGCTGGAATCGCTGCGGCTAACATGGGAGCAATCCCGCCTCGTTGCCTTCCTACCCCTGGTTTACCTTTTCTTCTTTTTGGTTGTCCTTTTCGTTTCATGTTTAAATTTGCGTTTGTTTGTGAGTGAACGGCTATTTATATCTTCGTCAAAGGTATGAACACGCGTAGCTCCCTCTTCTTTGGTTAAATGACTCCAAATGCGAAAACAGTCATGGGAGGCAGGATGTAAATCCAACATAAAATACCCAAAAGGACGGGAGGTCAGCTTTAAAAACAATTTGAGTACTTGACGCCATTTTTCAGGGTACACTTGAAGCAGTAAATGTCGAATACCTGTCTTATCCCTGGGTGATTTAAAACAAATCACATAGTGTGCATTGCGATTAATCGTTTTCGCAAACTTGCCTGGGGGAAAGAGATCTTGTGTAATATAAAGAGCGGTAATGCCTCGATGGTGAGAATCTTTTGTAAATACATCCAACACCCGTTTATTTCTCCCTGATTCTTCCATTAAGTCATCCAAAATGAGTATGCCATGATGCTCTGGTTTAAACCATTTTACGAGAGCCCCTTCAGGAGGAAGTCCTTTGTAAAACATAATGTTTTTTCATGCGATCAAATCGGGGTTGCCATCGGTCATAACAATACACTATTTTTTTCGGAGGAGGGTCAAACAATGTTTTTTCTTTGAGTAATTTTTCCACTAATTCACTTTTCCCACTACCTGAGGGCCCCGCTACAATCACGCTAGCAGGTTGTCGAATCATGTTTCCCACGGCTTACGAAAATGAGTGTAATGTCCTGTTGCTCCTACTGCACCCATACGTTTATAGCGTTTGTCCTTGCCCAATTTATACCCAATTTTGGCTGCAGTGGATAAGACTGTGCTGAGTCCTTTGCCTCTCTGATAATGACGGACGTTATCTTTTATACCTTTCAACGCTTGTTTCCCTAAAAAGGCCCGTAATTTGATAAAATTAGGAGAAGGACCAGACAGCCCCATGGCAACTCCCTCGGCTATTTTATCAACCAAAGGGGGTTTTCGTCTAAATCGTGCACCCCCTTTTTGACTTTTTCTTTTTTTTACTCGTTGTTTTCGCTTTCGGGCCATAGTTGTTGATACAATCGCGGTGAGTTCAACTGAATGAGTAGAAGTAACTGATCCAAGTTGACTGAAAAAGTCGTTTTTAATCAAGTTTACGATCACATGGTTTCAAATGCTATTTTTCCTGCGCTTCAATCTTCTTACAGGCAATTCCATAGCACTGAAACTGCACTTATCAAGGTGATGAACGATATTTTGTTAAAGATGAACTCTCAACATGTCACTATGTTAATTTTATTTATCTCAGTGCTGCCTTTGACACTGTTGATCATCGAATACTTTTAGAGAGGCTATCTGACGAGGTTGGCATACGTGGGACTGCTCTGAATTGGTTTAGATCGTACTTGTCTGATAGAAGTCAGCGCGTTTCTGTACATGGAGTTCTTTCTCGTCCTTTTGACTTGAACTTCGGGGTACCCCAAGGCTCATAATATATGCGTCCAAGCTGTTTAAGATCGTGGAACATTATCTTCCTGATGCTCACTGTTTCGCTGATGATACGCAGCTGTATCTGAGTTTTAAACCACTCGGCAACACTGCTCAAGCTGATGCTATACAAGCTATGGAAAAGTGCATTGACGCGGTGAGGAAATGGATGATTCAAGATCGGTTGATGATCAATGATGATAAAACGGAGTTTTTGTTAGTCGGCACACGACAACAGCTTGATAAATTAGATTCGTGTTCCATAACTGTGGGCAATAATCGTATCAGTCCAAGCCCGTGTGTTAGAAACCTTGGATCGTGGTTTGACAGCAACTTAAGCATGACTGATCATATAAACAAGGCTTGTAATGCGGCATTTTATCATTTACATAACTTGAGACGTAGTAAGAAATACCTGTCAAGAGATTCTTTAATTACTTTGGTTCATGCTTTTATAACCAGCCGTCTTGACTATTGTAATGGTTTATTGTTTGGCTTACCAAATGTGCAGATCGCTAAATTACAGCGTGTACAAAATGCAGCAGCAAGACTTATTCTTGGCATTGGAAAGTTTTCTCACATTACAGCGGCGCTTTATGAGCTGCACTGGCTGCCTGTTTCTTTGCGTATTGACTATAAGATTTTACTTTTGACTTTCAAATGTATTTATGGCCTGGCGCCAACTTATCTTAGCGATCTTATTAGTATAAAATCGAATTCATTATATAATCTTAGGTCTACTGGTAAGCTCTTATTGGACCATCCCAAGGGAAAGATGCTTACAACATTGGGAGCAAGATCATTCTCAGCAGCAGCTCCAAAACTCTGGAATGAGCTACCTGTGGAGCTTCGTCAGGCAACATCACTTAACAGTTTTAAATCTCGACTTAAAACCTATCTTTTTAAGAAGTATTTTTATAGTTTGTAACTTAGTTTATTTTATTCTCACGGTAATGTATTTTCGTTTTCTTTTAAACATATGATTGTAAAGCGCTATTGATCAGCACATGTAAATACGCGCTATATAAATTGGTAAATTATTATTATTATTATTATCTTTTAAATGGGTTTCACCTACTCACCTACTCTGGTTTTTTCTTTTCAACACCCACAAAGTACTCCTGTTTCTCTTCATCATTCGCTGTGTTTCTTTTACATGCTGGGCAGTCATTTTGTCCTTCCTCGAAAACGTCTTGTCGCAATGTAGACATGGGACTCTGATATTAGTCCCACAATATTTCTTGTGACGACAAAAGGTAATTCTGTTCTTCAGCTGTCAAGCGTTTCGGGAAATGCTTGTGTTGTATTTTCCCTTCGGAAACATATTCTGTAGCAATAAAATCACACTATTGTTAAACCTTATTGTTAAAATAATAAACATTGTTCAACTGACTACTTTGTTGTGTAGTAAATCAACTCGGAAAGGGGCTGATAGTACAGTGGTTTAGTATCCCTGCTTGTCACGCAGGTGACCCGGGTTCGATTCCCGGTCAGCTCGTTCTTTCTTAATCTTGTGATGATAGCAAGGTTGGGAAAGACTTTTTTCTTTACTTATAAACTTAGAAATAATAATGAGAACACTTAGAAAACGTTTTAGAACGGTTTTACACAAGATTCAGTACTGTGCATGCGTACTGTGCAGGGGACAAAAATTCTGTCCCACAATTGTAAGTCGTGACTGTCATCCACATATATAACTTCACCTTTACAAATTCAGAAGTAACTAAGTTCCAAGTCCTCTCCGACCGTCATCTTGAATTTTTAATTTGATTGACAACTTAGAACAATAGCCTTAAAACAATAGCGGCGGCGGCATCCTTTGATACCCGAAGTGACCACCTTTACTACTTTTGACAACCTGTACGGTAGTTTTTATTTTTATATTTTTTCTCTTTAGGTTGGCGGCCTAGTCACCTGGAACGATGACACTAGACGGCGTTTTCGGTTTAATGTGAGAGTTCTATTTGAGCGGCTAATCAGGAAATTTGGGTGAGGAATACATCAGTCTAGTTATATAGTTTAAGAGTAACTTAACACGGCATACAAATCTCCTTTTCTCTTTTGTCTTCACCAAAGAAAATGGCCACTTCAGAAAATCTAGGGAGAATGTTGGGTGCAGTGATTTCTTGGATCGATTAGTTGGACAAGCATTGGTTTCGTCTGGTCGATGGTATTCAAGACAGCCCTTAACCAATCACAAGTAACCATTGTCCACCTAAATGATCCCAGGGATCGTTGTGCCTAAGGCTTGTATCCATTCCCTTTATAGTTTCTAGAATGGGTAGTTATCAACCTCTGACGGATCAAACTATCTCCATTTCTATTTTATTTTATCTTATTACTTCGGCGGAGCGTGAAGTAAAGGATTCGCGACGCTGAGGAATGTATCAAAGTTGCAATTTTTTGACAAGATTGGGCAAGCAAAGTCTGTAAGTTTTCGGCTCTATTCGGTTATTTGACGAAGTGAGAGCCGAATGAGTTCGAGATATCTCGAGATCACTTCGATTTCTTTGATTTATTCTTAAACTTTTTCGAGGAAGGGAGAATTATTATTTTGGCTTCCCCGGGGTTTGAACCGACTCACCTGTGTGACCCGTCAGATCAGAGGAGACTCTAAGTTGAGGGATTAGCCGATTGCGCTACTGCGACCCAAGGTAGTGTGGGAGATGAAAAATAGTGATGAAGTGATGCACTAGTTTCGGGACAAGATTGGGCGTGCAAGTTCGTGACTTTTCGGCTTGTTTCAACTATTTCACGAAATGAGATCGGACTACTTCGTGATATCTTGAGATCACTTCGAGTTTAGTCTTTAATTACTCGAGGAATAAATAGAGGATATTTCGTGGCCGCGCAGAGACACGAAATTTCTCTTCGAGTGTTGAAAAACATTTCACGAGTGAGCCCTCCTTTCGAACTGTTTTATGATGAATTTAAAGTTACAAAATGCTGCACAAAGACATTTTGTCTTTGTTGAGTGTTACGTAGTAAAATTACTTTCATGCGTTGCGTGACTTTCTTCGGATTAGCCATGAATAATTAATTAGGGCATGTTTACATTTCAGCATGAGTCAGCCGATTGGCATCAGTTACTGAAATCATAAAATATGTCGAAAAGCTACTACTATTCGCCTGTTTAGTATTCTCTAGAACCTTATGTCAAACGGTATACAAGTTCCAAGCGAGTTCTTTTGACGAACTAAGTTTTTCCCACGAGCTGGGCTGCTGTGTTTAGTCAAGTGTGACGAAGGTCGATTATTCAGGTTCTGTGTTTACAAGTTCGCGGAAGCCGTAAGATATCTGAAGTTGAAGTGAGAGTTTGTTATTATTGGTAGAGGCTGTTTAGTTTTACTCAAAGTTCAAGTCAAGTTTGTGTTGGCGGATGCTGTGTTTTAAAGCTCTGTAAAGGCTATGTTCCTTTGGTGTTAAACTTCCTTGTGTTAATCCGACATCCCTGCGTGCTGATAGTCAGTGAATAATTATCCTCAAAACATTCGAACTCGTGACTTTGAGTTTTAGCCAATTCCATTCTCAACGTAATTGACCCCTTACCCATGCCTTACATATCTTTAATCAGTATATGAGACTGCTATGCTGTTTTTGAAGCCTGATGTGACTAAGAAAAATAGAGAATTGTTTTTTAGAAGGATTTGTATGGAGTCATCAGAGCATAACTGGGCTAATATCGCGGGGACAATTTGTCCTGAAATGCTAGTTTTTGGCAAGTAGGCCTCTTGGATGTTGCTCTTTTCAGAATATCCTGACAAATCCCATAATTTCACACCTTACTCTTACCATATTTGATTTCTTACTATTCCTCCGCATTTACAATTACATGTAATTAGTTCCACAACCACGACGCCGAAGTGTACGCTAGCTCCGTAGCGTCTTGTTATTTATTAATTTGTTCGTTTATTATTTGGCCAGTGAATCTTAGTGCATGCTCTATCTATGCATCTCATAGTTATCACACTATCTACAAGTGCACTCCTGAGCAACATCAAAAGTTGGTTCACAATATACACAAGACAACACAGAGACTGAAGCGACAGAAAATGGCTGCCAGAAGAGATAGGAATTCGGTAAGCATGTTGTACGAGAAGTATAGCACATCTCCAGGGCAATTCTACTCTTAGAGTAAGCGTTCTATTTATCCGATTTACATATATTCCTGATGGTACGTGGTGGCCAAGCTTTTAATACCTCTAACTTCAGATCGTAGGTCCGAGTTCGAACCTTGCCAACGCGTTGTTTTCTTAGAAAACAAAACAAAACAAAAAAACTCTGCTCCGCCATGTCCCTCTTCACTCACGTGTATAATAAAAAATGCCATTCACGTGGTACAAACCACCATGCTGGAGAGCAAGAGACATGCTGGGATAAAAGAAAGAAACAAAGAGCTCGCACCATCTAAAATAGTAATTTCCTTTGTTTGTTTTGTCCCATTGCGTCTGTTGCCAGCTAGCATAGGGGTTCTGTAACACGTGAATGATAAGCTACAAAGGGCCAGATGGGTACACATACAACTTATTGTGGCCACGGAGTGGCATATCGTCCAAACAGGAGTAGCAGTTTTCCTGTAAGTGCTTCTTGTTATGGGTCTCATGGCTTGTGGGTGGCTTAATCATTACAGAGGCTAACAATTTAACATGACCAGTTTATAAATGTACAACAGCTGTTACATAGTAGGTTGTTTGGGGATAATAACCGGACACATCCTACTCTTTTGGTCCACAGGACGAAGGCAAGGTGCTAGCAGAAGAAGAGACTCCACAAATTGAAAGGTATGAATAGATGAACGTGATTTAAGCCGTTGTCTTTTTTGTTTTCTTTTTTGCTTATTACTTGGGCAAAGGAACCTTTTAATATAAACCAAGCGTTCACTTCCCATTAGACTGCTTTGCCCCTCCAAAAAGGCCGCCATCCCTTTGTTTACTTCTCCAACGTAACATAACAGACAGACCCTACATAATCATTGTTCCGTAATGTGTCGGAGAAGTTTAATATTAGCCCATTTGCATCAAGAAATCTGGTAATGGAACCAGAAACAGAATTGGACACCAACAATGTGGAAGGTCACATATTGTAATGGAGAATTTTAGGAGGGAGAGTAAGGATTTGCAAGGATTTGCATGGCTGCCATGTTGCAAGGAATGATGTCCTTCCTAAGTGGAGGGCATATTCTCAGCTTAGTGTCATCGCACTTTTATTCTCACTTATTCTTAAGTGGATGTCAAAAGTAATTTCCTTTTGGTGGCCAAAAGATAAGGAGACTTGAATACCCCAGTAATGATATTGTTCCGAGAAATGATCACATTTGTCGCATTTAGCATCCACCCTTATCCAAATGTTCACATGGTTCCAGTGGTTCAAAAGGTGGGTAACCCTGTCTACCAGGTACACAGAAGTCGCTCTCCACTGGGTAACACAATTGGTTTCCCTAAGACCTATCCAGTGGACAGTGATTTAATCGGTGGATAGCTACTTTTGAACGATCGGGTCGGGTGTTAATGGGTAGCTAATGTCCAGTGCGTTAACGATAAAGGAATAAAATAGCAACAACCGTCAAACAAACAAATCTTAACACATTCTAGTAAGTTTTTGGCTGTTTTTTTTTTAATTATTATTTGTATTTATTTATTTATATATTATTTTTTTGTGAAAACGCTGACTTCATGATCCAAAATAAAGTTCACTCTTTGAGCCTGTTTTCCGCAGCTTTTGCTTCGCAGTTACCCTTGTTTAAAAACATGACCAGCAAGAAAGTCAAGAAGCTTGCATTACGTAGTTCAAAAATCAGTTGTTTCGTGTTTTCCTTACTAGTTATGAAGACATCATGTTCGGAGATGATGAAGGGGAAGAGAGACCCGGAATGAAAGCAAAGAAAAAGGTAAAAATTTCCATTCCACATGTTTTCTTTGTTTTTTGTCGGAAGCCTCTTTTAATATTCATATTTTCTGGTATTTTCAGCTCTTTTCTTCAGGGTTCTTTTTATATTATTAAAACCCTATTTGTAAACGGTAAGATTTTACCAGGTAAAGCGCTTTAAAGAAAGTCTCAGTTGACTGTATCTGGTATTATTTTTTGTTCTTGAAATCTTTAATCTCTCGCTAATGATAGATTTACTTGTCAGTGTTTTTTCTTCGCTGAGCGCAGTTGATTGATAGACTGATTAAGCGATTTACTGACTCCTGGATTTTCTACATTTTTGAATGTATTTGATCCTACAGGCAAACATGGACAGTAAAACAAACCAACGAGCTAAAGCTCCAAAAGCCTGGATCCGAGAGGGAACTGATGAGGAGCCAGTTGATTTCCTTGACCCGAAAGTGGTGCAAAGGGTCGTGGGTAAGTCTTTTGCTCTCCTTCTATTTTACAGTTGTATGCAGAACAAGCCGGCATTTGGATGGAAGCGAGACTGAAAATGGTTTTGTTTTGCTAGAAGTCTTAGTGCTCTTAGTATGTAAGTGAGATCTACTTTGCATATGAGAATTTCGAACATGATTTACTTATCTCCCGTAATCAACCTTGTTCGCCCTTCCGCCCGCCCAACAAAATGTTGCATAACCTTTGCTTTTCATTTCTTCTGGGAATTACATTGGTCCCAAGAAAAAATAAAGACAATGGCTATGTACAATTCTGAGGGCAACCAAGGGAAGGTGTATTATGGGAGATGTGCAAATGGTGAATACCATTGTCTCCTCGCTTTTCTGAATGGCACTGAAACACTCTTCACACTGTGCTAACTACAAAATATTTGGAGTTGGCTGTATCAAAACTACCACTGTCTTACATTTCCACGTTTCTCTTTGAAGCCAGCGACCCCACAAAGCCTGCTAAGCGTAAAAAGACGGACGATTTTGAGACCTCGGCTGATGGAAAGCTGATAATCAGGGATGACGAGTCCGAGAATGAGCTGCAGGAGCCTGGAGCCAAGCGCAAAAGAAAACCAGGTGATGGTTGATTGATTGATCGATTGGTTGATCGAGACTAAAGCTCAAATGACCTCCGAGAGAGGCCAAGAGTATCCTATCATCCAAACACAGTTAAGGCTTTTTTGTTTAATACTTCAGGGAAATTCAGATTTTTCGAACCACTTTAGGAAAAGCAAAGTGTTTCGAATATTCGAGGTTTCAAAAAAATGATGATTCTACTGAAAACTTTTAATGACAAACAACAGAACTCTTCTTTACAATTCAATTCACCTCAGTTACTTGGTTTGCAGCGAGAGGCCAACATTTAAATATCATGTATTAAATTTCGTATTTCACTTACGTCTTTCTGATGGTATTTACTTCCGTTATCACCTTTGTCAGGTTTCCAGGATTCAGATGATGACATGGACGAGGTAAGTTAATTATTAAAGTGTTATTATTTGCATTTTCTACAAGGGGACGCATTATTTGTGAATAAAATCGAAATAATGAAATATGAGTTTCTCGATTTCAGTTTCTCGATTTCTTTTATTCCGTTGTAGAAAAACAGTTACGGTTTACCAGTTACATTTTGTCTGCTGAGGTTGTAGTTAAACTGGTTTGGGAAAATGTTTGTTATCACAAAAACCTTAGGGGTGAAAGCTAAGAGCAAAGTCAACGCTTACAACTTGGAATTGCAACCCTGTACTATCCTAAGTCTTGTATGTTGTATATTTTCGGAAAACTACTTTAACCAAGCCGCCTTTTTTCCACCAGAATCCATCTTTGAGAAAAAAGAAACGGAAATCCTTTCAAGCTGATGCTGAGGAAGAAGGCGAGAACCAAGGTCTGTCTGTCCCTCTATCTATCTATTTGTGTGTCTGCTGGCTGGTCGGCCGGTCGGTCTGTCTGTCTGTTTGTATATCTGTCTGTCTAGCTTTTTACCTTGAGCAAAAGGTTATCGAACAAGCGTGCGCTTTCTTTAACCTTTTGTTTGTTTGTTCGTTTTTTTTTTTTTTGCAAATTGGAGCAAATCTTTTGACAGTTTGTTCTACCTGTCTTGTCTTTTCACTAGAGTTTTAATTTATTTCGTTTAGTTAAGTGAAATCGGAGTTTCGTTTCCCTTACAGGACTTCCGTCAAAACGCGGACAGAGTGAAAAGCCCTTTGGATCAGAATATAAGGCCAGGGTATGCTTCAGAGAATGATTAATTGAGACGGAATAATTGATTATTTAGTTTCCTATGCGAGACGAAATCTGATGAGTGACGACCAAAGGAAACAACGTGCAGTTGTCAGACTCGGCTGAAGCAGAAGTAACGGACATGTGCCTTTTCTTTCACCCACTTCAATGTGACTGGCACAGAGACTTATCCTGAAACATATTACTGGGCAATGTCTTTGAAAGATGACCCCTCGTGACTTGCACGTCCATACTCATTGATACCTAGCCCTGTTGATCCTAAGCGGAATCGATCATGTTCTATGGGCCACATTAGCGCTTCCTGGGTACTCGTCTTTCACATTCAGGATCCTCTATCTTGAAGTGGACGCAAATAACGACCCAACTTCATGCTGACTCCCCTTCAAAGTATTTATCTTTGCTGCCTTTCAGACAAGCTAGTAAATGTTACAATATCTCTAATATCGTTGTCTTTGTTTGCCTTTATAGAAAGCTGGTGGGGATGTTAAAAAGAAAGGAAAACCTGACCCATTCGCTTACGTACCTTTGCAGCGCAACGTACTCAATAAACGGTAAGAATTCCAGATTTTATCCTAATACATCAAATATACTAGCGCTACCTCGAAAGTCCGTTTCGTTTGTGTACGTACAAACGGGACAGAGTTTTGTTCCTTTCGTTGTGCGAAAATTGAGCAACCCCCAAATAAGGAGAAACATTGCTTAGCATAAGTTATTTGTGAAGCATTTGTTACCTCAGTGCCGTTTTCGTTTTCAGTAACAAGTCGTTGTTTCTTTTTTTCAAACAGAAAACAAAGAAAAATGGCTGGGCAGTTTAGGGGACTAGTGCGGGCTACTAAACGAGGAGCAGCTAATGCCAGACCCAAAAAAGGGAAAAGATAGCGACAGGAGATATTATTTCCGTTTGATAGCCTGAGAAAAAACTTTTAAAACACAGAGGACGAGGACTAGGTTGTATTGAACACACTACAAAGAATTTGGGGCGTCACATTGCTTTTGCCTTGATAGAATTCGAAAGAATGTCCGATAAAATTAGAAAAAGTTCCTTAGCACAGTCATTAGGCTGATAGTGGCTGGTTACTCGAAAGCTCTTCTGGATTTAAGATCAGGTCCTTAGGTACTAAATCAAATACTGCAAGCATGGATCTCCTGGTGTGGGAATTTTTTAAAGACCTGAAACAACAACAACATTGGTGATAATTTTGTGTATGATAGCTACGAATACATACATACATACGTTTTATTGGGTCTCCCTTTACAGGGCTTTCCAGACACAACTAATTATATGAAATTTGCAGAAATAAAAGCTAAAATCTAAAAACCTGAACTAGTGTATTCATTAATACTATTAAAAAATAAATTAGGGAAAGAAATTCCTAATCATGCAATCTATTCATTAAGTATACAATTAAATAATCTTTTCTTGAAAACCTTGTTGTCTTTAATGCTCTGAAGGTCCTTTGCCAGTTCATTCCAGTGTTAAGCCCCGCGAAAGTAAAAACTTCGTTGTCCTGCTGACAACCAGCAGCGTGGAAAGCTCAAGTCTCCAGGCTTTGTAACATAGTTGTGAGACAATGAACTTGACAGAAGCTGAAGAACACAACTCATTTAATCACAGGAAAAGGCTTTGTTGGCTACATGTGATTACAGAACAGAAAGCGCACTATCATCCAGGAACTTTACCTATGCTGGGCCCTTAGGGCTTGGAACTAACAACGTCGTCACATCCCCTTTGTTCTAATAAAAAAAAATAATAAAAAAATAAAAGTATTTGAGTTCTAGCGGACAAAGCTATACGAAATGTTCACTGTTCGGACAATGAAATCGTCCAGGTAACCTGGCCTCTTAACTATTCTCCCACTTCTAGTATGCACAGGAGTATTCGAAGAGACTGACTGGGAGTCCGTTTGTGAACCCACTGCTGTCATTGACGCATCAGGAATCTGTGGCACCAGAGATTCAGTAGGCACCACCACTTTACAGGATAATGGAGGTATTGGGCTCCAGCTTGTTCTTTCTGATTGCACTGCTTCGTCATCTGACATTGCTTGGTATTTCTCGGGAATCTTGGAGAGATGAGAGCGGTTTTGGCGATGGACTCTTCCATCTTCTGTGCGGACATTACAGTATCGTATCGTCACCTGATCTTTCACTTGAGTCCTAAACCATTTAGACTGACCCGGCAAAGATAAAACTCGTACCACATATCCTTTCGCTAACGGGTGTAATTCGTTAGCCCCTCTGTCATAATAAACAGCTTGCTTGCGTTTCCTAGTTTGCAACTTCTGTGCCACTTCAGGGACATCTTTTGGCTGAAGCAGCTGACCAGCCTAGGACAGTAAAGAGCAAGTCCTATGCGAGAGTTGACGCTGTGCCGGGGAACTATCCATTCCTTCTGATGGTGTGTTTCTAAAATCCAGTAGAGACCGATGCGGATCGTAACCCGAATCTTCAGCTTTCTTTAAGGTAGACTTCGCTGTCTTGACACTGTTTTCCGCTTTTCTATTGGACTGGGGGTTCCTAGGGGACGTTTAGATGTGCCAAACTGATAATCTTTTGAAAAATTCTGAAATTCATTATAGTCAAACTGGGGCCCATTGTCGGTAATGAGTCTATCTGGCAGACCATATCTTGCAAAATGAGGCTTCAGCTTAGCAATAACCTCTTTGGAGGTCTTGGACACTAACACATCAAGTTCAAAAAAGTTAGAATAACGATCAAAGGTAACAAGGTAGTCAGTACCGTTGAGCTCAAAGATGACTGCCGAGATGCTTTGCCAGGGTGTTGTTGGTATTTTTTGGCACACTAAAGGCTCTTTCTGTTGTGCTGGTTTGTAACTGTTACCGATACTACACCTTGAGATGGACTCTAGAATCTGCTTGACACCCTAGACAGCCCTAGACACCCAGGTGGCTTGCATGTGTTTTGTTAATAATACACTGTCTCAAACTAAGTGGTACCACGATTCTTTCACCCTTGAACACAACACCATTCTGAACTGACAGTTCCTCCCTGAAGTTAAAGTAGCCATTTACTTAGGGGGGACAGCTGTCAAATTTTCTGGCCAGCCCTCCTTGATAACAGTGGTCAACAACTCAAGCTCTACATCAGTTTCCGTAGCAGCCTTTAGTTCTGACAACGTTACTTGACGAATTGGTACAAAGTCTGCCATATCCACGTACTCGGCCGCCACTTTGAGTGGTGATCTCATGTCATTAACATTCCACACATCTTCTTTGACTTCTTCTTCATTCTGATTGGTTGACGGGAGATACGCTCTGCTAAGTGGATCTGCAATATGCATCTCGATGCCCTTGCTGTAAGCTACTTCCAAGTCAAACTTCCATAACTACAACAGCATTCTTTGCAGCCTCTTCGGTGCACTTAGCAGACTCTTCTTCATAACAGACTCCAAGGGTTTGTGGTCAGTTTGGACAAACACCTTTCTTCGCCTGAAACCTCTTAAGGCCGAGGAAAAACTGATAACAGTTCTTTTTCAATTTGGGCGTAGTTGGCTTGCAGTGACGGCTGTAGATGTATATGGCACTGGATGGCCATCTTGAAGTAAGCATGCTCCCAGACCACCCGGAGATGCGTCACATTGAAGCACAGTCTTTGTTTGTGAATCAAAAAACTTGAGTACTGGAGCATGAGTTAAGGCTTTACTTCTCAAGTCACTTTCCATGGACTTTCTGGTCCCAAACAAATTCGTTTTCCTTCTTGACTAGCTCTCTCAACAGGGGCGAACTTCTGTAGATAATTTGCAATGCCAAGTATTCTCTGGACACTTTGCTTGTCTGTGGGGGCGGGCATGTCATTAATGGCCCACAGCTTGTTTGGATCAGCGCTGTGACCCATGTAGGGGACTTCTTTCTGTCTGAACTGCACCTTATCCGCATTCAACTTTATTCCTTTCTCTGGCAACGGTTGAGCACCTTTCTTATATTATGGTCTTGATCTTCAAAGGCTTCCTAATCTGTGTCCCTGATCCAAAGACGAGGATGTCATCAGCTATAGCCTTCTGCTGTGGTAGCCCTTCAAGTGCCACATCAATTCACCTCTGAAATTCCTACGGAGCTGGAGAGAATCCAAATGGCATTCGCAGCCAGCGATATCTTCCCCAAAGGTGTTACAAACGTGGTTGCCAGACTGCTTGGTTCATCCAATTGGATATGCCAGAAACCATTTTTTGGCTTTTAATACTGTGAACACGCGAGCCTTTGAAAGCAGGGGAAGAACATCATCTATCGTGGGCAAGGGGTAATGGTTTCTGTGAAGCGTCTGATTAAGTGGCTTCGGATCAATACAGAGTCCAACTTTACCATTCTTCTTTGTGGTTACTACAATTGCTGAGATCCACTCAGTGGGAGTATCAACTCTTTGAATCACTCCAATGTTGGACAACTGGTCCAATTCCTGTTTAAGTGGCTCTTTGAGGCCAACTGGCACCCTCCTCGTTGGCAGTTGAACCACTTGTACAGTCTGGTCAATCTTCAGATGTAGTTGTCCTTACAGTTTCCCTTCTGCTGAAAAAACATCTTTGTACAGGGAGAGGCAATCTTCCTTTTTGAAAAGTCCACTCAACAGCATTGCAGTCCATGGCAAGTATATTCTTTTTTTAATAGTCAGCAGTTGTAGGTGCTCACTAGCTCTCAAGCCAAGAATGGACTTGCATGCACCACTAACTATAAGGAACTCGATGCTGCTACTTCTTGTTCTTTGGGTTCAACACCTTGAAAGGTTTGTTGGCCAAAGGTTTAATTCTGACTTCTTATACATAACCAGGGTCACTGATGGTTTGTCCAGGTCATCCAGTGCGTTCTCTCCATTCAGCTTCTTCACTGTTTTATCAGCCATAATGTTTACAGTTGATCCACTATCTAGCTGAAACTTCTTCTCTTTTCCATTGACGAGTAGGGTTGGGGTTGGTTGGGGTTGCCACCTGAGGCTAACGAGTTGAGCTGTTCCTCAATTGCAATCACTGCTACATGCTCTTCATCTTCAGATTCCCACTCCATAGATAAGACTTTTTTTCTTTGATTCTTGGCAGCAAACAGCAAAATGACCACAGTTCTTGCATTAGTTTCCCCATGCAGGACAGTTTTTCTTAGCAAAAGGGTGTTGTCTTGCACAAAACTTGCAGACCATTTGTTGACCTGATGACTCACTGATGGGCTTGGCTGGTGGACTAGTCTTCTTTCTCCCAACCGGAGACTTTTTCTCTACCTTCACATAACGAAGTACTTCCTGGTTTGTGGCTTTAAGCTGTCTCGCTGAAGTCTCCGAGGATCTACAGATATATGTACATTGATTAAGGTCAGTGTACTTTTCTGAAGGAGTTTCTTGCGAGCAGAATTATCACTAATTCCAACCACCATTCTATCACGAATAAGTGAGTCTGTGAGCGACCCATAATTACAAGTCTTGGCAAGCTTCCTCAATGCTGTGGTGACATAGGCATCAACTGATTCATTTGTCTCCTGGTGCCTACGGTTGAAAACATTCTTAATCTTTGTGCGAATGATCGCTGTGTCCTTTCTTTGGTCTTCAGTGTCGAATTCCATTGCATCGATAACACCCAACGCACCCAAGCCTATACAGGTGAGCAAAATTGCAGTCCTTCGTTCCTTATTCCTGTCCTCATTTTCCGGGTCTTTGAGTTGAGCATAGTTCGACCACACTCGGCTTAAGCGTTGCCACTTCACCGCCTGATTTCCACTGCTCAAGTCTAGCTTTTCCGGCAGAGGTATACTTACAGGCACAATGATCACAGCGGGTTGAGTACCCGTTAAATTTCCAGCAGTATTAGGACTTTCTCCTTTACTTGGATTTGGCATATTCAGTTCACCACAGAGACAACACGAAGCGATGAACAGTAAGAT